AGCTCCTTGGGTACCCCAGGATTCCCTGGAGGCCCCCCCACTGGACAGTGGCGTGGCCCATCCTTGGCTAGCTGACCATTCCTTAGCCAGTGGCTGGATCATCAATGCCCCCAGCTGGTGAGATGAGGGTGCCTTCAAGTGCTGTCTCCAGCAGCTAGTGTGATTGGTGGGGTTGACATATGGGGGTCAGAAAAGTAGAACTGCTCCATGGAAGGACCTAGGTTTCACCTACTGGGTGGGCGGAGCCGCAAATGCGGTGAGTACCTCACGGGCCTAAGGCCGCCAACAACCGTGATCATTACTAACTGATAGGTACTGAGTATCAGGCAGTTTGCTAAGTGCCTTATCATGCATTATCATTCCATGATCATTTCACCTCCTGATGATCCACGGGGTTAACACGCTTATCATAGGGAGTTAAAATCACCTATTTTATTTGAGGAAATGGACTCAGAGAGGCTGGGTAACTTACCCGAGGCTGCACAGCTGGAAAGGATCCAGAGCCAGTTTTGCTGCCCGGATCTGGCTGTCTCCTGAGTCCTGCCACCTCCTGTACAACCCAGGCTTATCTCAGAGAAGGTGACACAGGCATGCCCTGGGAGGACAGGGCTGTCACGATGCCCAGCACTGGTCAACATGGAAGGCATCATGAGACCGAGTGCCACTTTGCCCATTTGGCTGCTCTGTTATCTCCTGCCAGCCCCCTGCCCTCTGGGCCTCAGTTACCTCATCTGTACAATGAGGTTGCGCCACATACCCGGAGGCCCTTCTTGCCTCTGATTCATTCTGACATCCCCGTCTCCATCAAATTAGTAATCCCATTTATGATGTAACTTCAGAGCAGTCGAACTAAGGCTTCTTAACATGGGATCCCTGGACCCCTCGGAGTTCCAGGAGCTGCCTGGAACGAGGAGCAGAATTGTGTGTGTGTGTGTGTGTGTGTGTGTGTGTCTGATGTGCATTTTTCCAGGGGAAGTGTCCATGTTATTACAGATTCTAATCCCTAAAGGTGAAGAGCCATTGATCACTCTAAATCTTTAGAATTGCCCTAAGCTCAGTCACAATTTTAAGGGAAATGGGTCCAGAAGGCTGAATCCCTACCATGTAAAATTCTTCCCTTCACTGTGTTTAAAGTCCCCTCAGACTTCCTGCAGCTGCACCTGCTCCCGTGCCCCAGGCTTCCACCCTCCGGCCACACTGACCCCTGGAGACCCCAGCCCCCAGTGCTTCCGGTTAATCTCTGCCTCTACGCTGAAGCTCCTCCTAACCGCTGTCTTGTTATTGGGTCCTCACCCCCATGTCCTTCCCCTGGAACCGCGGCGCCAGGACTGGTGGGTCTTTCCTGAGGTAGGTGCAGTGACCAGAATGGCCAGTAGGAGTCGCAGGGTGGACAACCCCGGCGAGCATCCGAGGACAGAATTCCGCCCCCTTCTCAGCCTGGGGGTGAGGAAAGTGTACCAGCAGTCAGGAGGCCTGTGTTCTGGGTCCGGATCTTCCCCTCGGTAGGCCTCAGTTTTCCCATCTGTAAAGTGGAGGGAGATGACCTAGAACCCCAGAGGGTTGCTAAGCAACCTTTCTGCTGGGACATCCCCTGGACCTTTCTGATTGATGCTGGAGGGAGGGAGGGGTCTCGAACTCCCTTTAGCAGAAGCACTTGACCCAGCATCCTTAGGGAATGAAATAAAATGACTCAGGGGGCCCTTGGTTGAGCAAACAGAGGCCATTGTCCTCCAGCTTAAGGGGAAGCCTTACCTCCCGGGGAGAAAGGAGGGTTCTAAATAGGGCTGCCCCAAGAGCTGCCTGGGGTGGTGAGGGAAATGGGGACCACACTGGTGGCCTCCCAGGATGGGCGGGGGCCTTGAGATGAGGGCTCATGGGGCCTGGGAGGTGGGTGGCAGCCTCCTTGGCTACAGTTTCTGCCCATGTCTGGAGAAGGCCAGGCAGGCCCCGGTGGGAAGGGAGAAAGTGTCCTCCTGCCCTCAGCAGCTGCAGGACCTGGGAACAGGGTTGGAGCCCAGATCCTCCTCACTCAGCTTCTGGCTCTCCTGTCCCGGTTCTTCTGAACGCTCCCTCTCCATCAGCTCCAAATTCTGGGCCGAGAAAGAGCAGGGTGAAGGCCCAGGGATGAGGGAAGGCCCTGCAGGGCTGCATGAGGGGGGCATGCCCAACCATCCCTCCCTCAATCTCCTCCAGGGGGTCCAAGAGGACCAAGTCCTCTTAGGTACAAAAAGACCTTCTCCCTCTCCCACCCCCAGGTGATTAAAGAATGAGACACAGGTGTGACAATGATACAGCACATTCTCTACAAAAGTTATAATGAGCCTGCGGGAGGGGTACTTTGTAGGGCAGTGGGAACCCCAGAGCCTGCCCCACCCCGCACTGGGAGAACCGGGAGGAGGCCGAGGCAGGACACAGACAGGGGACAGAAGAGAAAGGGCAGCACCTGGGGCTCTGAGAAAGTCGAGTCGGCACTTGGGGGTGGCCCCAGGCCCAGAGAACAGGGAAAAGGACTGCGGTGGGCTCAGGGCGGCAGTGGCAGGCGGCCAAGCCCGCACGTGGGAACAGAAACCACCTCCACCACGGCCCCCGCTCTGGGCACAGACACAGACGCCCCAGAGGGAGGCCTGTGGCATTTTCTGGGGGCTCTCTAGTCCCCTGACCCAGCCGAGGGGGCCCAGGAAAGAGATGGGGGCTGTGGCAGTGCTCCCAGTGGAGCCGCTTCCCAAGCTGAGGGGCAGGGGCAGGGGTCCGCTGCTGACAGAGCAGGAAGGGCACACAGGTGCAGGGGGTACACGTGCACACACATGGGAGAGCACCCCTGAGTAGCTCTCCCACAGCCGTGACCTCAGGCTGATTGGAAAACCGAGGACACATGCCTCAGGACACATGTCTGAGGGCCCCCTGGGGCTGGCCTTTCCCCTGGGCTCACCACCCTCACACAGCAGGGACGCGTGCTGAGCTCTCGCTGGTGCACTACCCCCGCAGAACCGTGCAGCTGCCCGGCCGCCTCCACACCTGGAGGCAAATCCACCAACCAGCCCTCAACACCGACACACATGCACAGAGCCCTGGGGACCCGGGGACAGTCAGCAGCTTAGATTATCCATGTCCTCAGGCTCTTCCACTGTCCATATCGCAGGACTGGCCCACAAAGAGGCTAGACCCCCCCAGCCATGCCCAGTCTCTGCCTGTCTCTGGCCTGGGAGATGCTGAGGCAGCTGGCCGCTGCCTTTCTCCAGCCCAGAGCATGCCCACCAGGCCGAGGGGCCATAATACTGCAGCTCATTGCTCTAGCACCTTGCATCTATTGCCCTGACCCTCTGGGGTACCTGGAGGGACCGGGCTGGAGGCAGGGTGGAGGAGGGCATTGTGAAGAGGGCAGAATCAGGCTGGGCCCCACCACAAGGTGAGCTGGTAAGGGTGCCAGTCACCACCGCCCCCCACCCCAGCCTGGCACTCCACCTCCCCAGCATGGCCAGTAGGTGAAGGAGAAGGGGGCTGGCTGTGCTTGGGACAGGGTGGGGATTAAAGTCAGGACATTTGGCTGAAGAGTCTAGCCAGAAACCTCCTCTCTAGGGTGTATGGGGGGAGGGGAGGCAGCCCAAACTCTTCCCTTCACAAGAATGTAGGAAGTGAGCAAGTCTCCAGCCTGAGCACAACAGCAGGACCCTCGGAGGAGGGGTGGGGAGAGACAATGGCCCCTGGACTGGCCGAGCCCGCCCCTCGCACTCCCATTCAGCTCTAATGAGCCTGTCATCTATTCCCTGGGGCCCCAGGGGTCCCCCCGCCCTTCCTCTGGGGCTGGCTTCCCACGAATCCACAAGTCCTTGGGGGCCATTCAGATGGATGTGGCTCAAGGGCTCCAGGACCCCTTACTGGTACCTCCAGGCTACACCTCTGCTGTGGAGTGTGGACAGGCTTTCAAAGGAGATGACCCACATGGTCTTTGCTCCCAGGGAGGGGTGGGGGGACTTCAGGGCTGGCGACTGTGAGGACCTCATGGCCCCACGGTGGGTTGTGGCAACTTGCAATTCATTTTGGTCTGGAGAGAGGAGAGCTCTGTTATCTGTAGAGAAAGACACAGAAACAGACTTCAGGTAAGGGCCTTCAAGACATCATTTTAAACCAAGACCAGCCTTTTGAACAACTAACCCTGACAGGCTAATGGTCAGGGATGGGGCCACTGGCCAGGGGGTGTCCTCCCCATCCCCTGAACTCTAAACCAGACTGCCTCCCCACACCCACCCCTGCCCAGCCATGCAGGGTAAAGGCCATAGACACCAAAAGGAGGCGGCAGCATTTGCTGGGCTTGTGGGACGCCACGAGAAAGGGGTCGGGGCAGGGCCAGGCCACCAGTGTGGTAGCAGACCTGGGCTCCTCCTGACCGCTTCTGAATGTAACAACTGTCCTCCCACGGGAGTCAGCAGGCTCTAGAGCCTCACAGACCAGGGATCAAGCCCAGGCTCTGCACCAAGCAGCAGTAGGACCTTGGGGTGAGCGGCTGGAACCCTCTGAGCCTCCACTTGCTCTCCTGGAAAATGGGGATGAGATAGCCCCTGCATATGGAAGCTGGGGAGGACTCAGTAAGAGGGCACGAACAGGGGCATCTCTAGCACCCAGGAGATGGGAGGGCTCAAGGCGTCCTGTCTGTGACTACTCTATTGTATGGCACTCTCCACACTGACACACCCATTTGGGGGCATTTTGATATCTCCAAAATTGAGGTGCATTTTATTTTACATTAGCCATGATAAGAAGGCCTCCTGTCCTCATTAAATTGGCAGCTTCGTTTTCAGAATTGGGGGTAAACAAATTAAGCGGGACCTCTTGTTATTGATGGGGGCTTAGATATTATGAAATACAGAATTCCCCCCTACACACACACACACACACACACACACACACACACACACACACTCCTTAAAAGGCAGATCCTCCCCCCATGGCTCCGGAAGGCTTTCCAGGCCCCTATCTCCCCATCCCCCCAAGGCTCGGGGCACTCACAACTCAGTGTCCTCCAGGGCGGGTGGGCGCTCCAGCGCCCGCCTCCTCCTCCTCACGGCCCCCAGGAGCTTCTTGCGGGGCCCCAGGGGGACGCTGATGCTGCGGAGGTCAAGGTCGGAGCACAGCATCAGGGCCTCGAGGTCAATCTTCTCCTGCCGCAGGAGGGAGGCGAAGTCCTCCATGTGCAGGGAAGCCAGGAAGGCCTCCAGCGGGCTCGTCTCCGGCTCCAGGTCCTCATCCAGGCCCAAGTCCAGCTCGTCCCAGGGCAGCTCCTTCCCGCAGCTGCGGTCCTGCAGGCTGCTGGCACTGCCCAGGCTGTCGTCGTCCAGGCTGGGGGAGCTCTGCGGCCGGCCTCGCGGGGCGCCGCCGCCGTCCAGCGCCCCGTCCTCGCGGCCCAGCCCGAGCAGCCCGCTGCTCAAGTAGTTCCTGCGGAACACCATGGTGCCCAGGCCGGGGCGGGTAAACAGGGAGTCGTGGCCTGAGTCGGTGCTGACCTCCGAGTGGGCCGGCTCGGCCGCCAGCGTGGCACGGGAGACGCTGTCCTCGTCCGAGAGGAACATGTCCCGGAGCGGGGAGCGGCCCCACTCCTTGGGGTTGGCGTAGGTGCCCTGGCGCACGAACATCACGTCGCTGCCCAGCTGCAGGCCCGAGAGCGAGCGCACGCTCTTGCGGCCGTCCTCGGAGATCTTGAAGGTGCCCTCGCCGCCCTGCTTGCGCCGCTCCAGCTTCCGCTGGATCTTGGCCTTGCCCCTGGCCGTGCCGTGCAGCGTGGCCTGCGAGTAGGGCAGGTGGCTGCCCAGCGCCAGGTGCTGCAGCCGGCGGCTCAGGGTGCTGGACGTGAGGCTAGAGAAGCTGAGCGCGTCCGAGCGCTCGGCCAGCTCGCGGCGGTAGCGCCGCTCCATGCGCTCGTGGTGCTTGCGCTGCATCTTGGCGCACTCGCGGATGCGCCGCTCCGCCTCTCGGAAGGCCTTGTCCTTCAGCTTGCCCACCAGCTTGGGGTTGAGGCTGCTCTGCTTGGCCGCGATGGAGTCCAGGTAGCGCACGCACTCCATGTGGCCCTTCATGGCGGCCATGTCCAGCGGCGTGTGGTAGTCGTTGTCCAGGCACCAGATGTTGGCCCCGAAGGACACCAGGAAGGAGAGGCAGTGCAGGTGGCCATTGGAAGCTGCCAGGTGCAGGGGCGTGTTGCCCCAGATGTCGCACTTGTCTGGGTCACCCCTGCAGGGAGGACACGCAAGGAGGGGTGATGAGCCAATACAGTTTCGGCTGGGCAGACGGCACTGGCTGCAGGTGCTGCCCCACGGGCACACCGGCGGACCCGAGGGCCTGAGACGTCTCCTGCGACTCCAGAAGATGCCAGACGGACCTGGGAAGGGGGCGAGGGGGCGGAGGCGGAAATGGCCCCAGACCTGCAGGGGGTGGGGCGACAGAAAAGGCGGGGCCAGGGCGGGGCCTTCCCCAAGAGAACTGATGGCTGGGAATCTCAGGGGATAAATATTTGATGCCCAGAGAGAAAGGAGTGAATTATTCATGGAGCCCAGCGGGGAGCTGGCCCAGAGAGGTGGTGGGCCAGGGCCGAGTCTGGGTCTCTAGGCAGGCGTGGTGTTGCGTGTGGCTGTGGGTGCAGGGGTCACCCTAAAAGAGGACACAAGAGAGTGGTGGGTGCGGAGCCTGAGCCCTGGGTGAGTGTGTGTGAGGGTGTGTGCCTGCGTGTCGGCAGGCAAGGCCACGTCCGCAGGGAGCAGGGCCAGGCCTGGCAAGGCTGCGTGTGAGAGGAGGTGTTGGGTCTTGGCCTGCGCTGGGAGGGGAGCGTGGGGGCAGCCAGGACCAAAGCGGAGGAGGAGGCAAGGTGGCAACCTGGGCCCAGCGGCGCTCCCTTCCCCAGGGCTGCCCCATCTTTGGGAGCTTTGTCAGGCAGGCTGGCGTGTGCCTGCCCCGGGGGACCCACCCAGCACCCTCCAACACCCTCCACACCAGATTATACCCCCTTGGGCATGCTCTGGCTGGCTCCTCCAAGCTCTCCCCTCCCACAGGGGCCTGGCTCAGCACCTCTGCCTCACACTAATGAGGCCACGAGGCCACCCCACAGGGCTGGAGGAAGAATCACCCCTTTGTCTCACCAGCTCCCCCCACAACCCCCTCCTCACTTCCCCTACTGGTCGCCAAGTTTTGCAGGACAATGTGGCAAGGAGCTGTTTGGCATCTGGCCCACACCCCATCCATCACCATCCCTAGCTCTCTGTATGAGTTGGGGGATTTGGTGCACCAGGAAGGCACTCTTCTCCCTTCTTCCCATGAACCTCTCTGATGGGGGGCAGGATGGCAGGATCACTGCGTGCTCTTGGTGTGGGAAGGGGCCAGCCTGGGCTTCTCAGAATGTGGCTCAGCAGCCTGGTTTCAGGGGCTGCTCCCACCTGCTGCTGGCTTGAGGAGCACCCTCAGAGGGAGGGTAAGGGCGTTCCCCACCCAGCACATGTTCAGGCCACAGGCCAGCATCTGGCACCAGGGCCAGCTGGGCCCCTTTCCCTCCACCGTGATTTCCCAGGGCCTACGATGTTCCTATGAACCCTCCTGGGGCATGTCTTCTGCTCCTTTTCCCTGTCCAGCTGCCCAGGTGTCCAGTTCAACCAGGTGACCTCTCTGTATAGAACTGTGGAGGCTGGCGAAGTTGTCCACAGTGTCATTCAGCCCCGGGAGCCCACATCAGCGGCCCTGGACCCTGAATTCCTTCATTGCTACATTCACATCCCTTCCCTGGCCCTGACACCTGGACTCTAGGCCCACTCCTCCCCCCAGACAACTCCTAAAGGAGGCAGAGTGAGCCTGCTTTGGGGGAGGGGCACAGAGGGAGTTAATGAGGCGGCCGCACCCACTGACATTTGGTGTCGGGGACAGTGCCCATAAATCCCAAGAATGAGCTGGGAGAGAGCTGGGAGAGCCCTAGCCTGCGGGGAGATCAGCACCCCTCAGACCGCAGGCTGGGGAGTGGGCGCTAAGGAGCCTCTCCTGAGAGGCCTGGGCACCTTCTCTTCCCTCCCCACTCTTGCTTCCAGGTGCCGCCCCCGCCCGGGAGACCTCTCCCACCTTCCCCTCACTCGGCAGCCCCTCCTATAATCATGGTTCCCCAGACCCAGTCCCTCTCCTCCTAGCCCCACATCCAGGTCACAGATGTCACACGCCTCGAGTTGTGTCCCCCTCCCACAACTGCCAGGTTCCAGGGTCCCACCTTAGGGTCAGTCCCGTAGAGAAGAGGGCAGCTCAGAGGAGAGAGGGGGAAGATACCCTGGAGTCTTGGGGAGTGTGTCTCAGGGGACCGGAGGGGCCTGAACACTCTCTTTGCACTCCACTGGGGGGCTTAGGCAGGGACAGGGTGGGTACTCACCCTCGGCTCACGATGAGACGCAGCGACTCCAGGTTGCCATGGTAGGCAGCCCAGAGGGTGGGAGTCATGCCATCCTCATCCGGGGCGTTCAGCTCCTTCCTGGTGGCCTCTTTGAGGAGCTCCAGGTAGCCGTCCCGGGCCGCCCGGTGGTACTGGTCGTTCATGGTGCCTGACTTGAACCGGATGGGCAGGGCGCGCGGGGAAATGCCCCCCGCGGGGGAGGGCGGCGGAGTTAGGGCTGAGGCATGGGGTTGGGGGAGGGGGCCGAGCAGGGGCCGGGGCCGCCAGCCCCTGCTGCCGCAGACGGAGGTTGCGGAGCGCCACAGCCGCAGCTACTCGGACATCTGAGCCGCTCACCCCGGGAAAGGCGGGGGGGGGGGGGTGCGGGGAGGATCTCCCGCTGCCCAGGGAGCCGCCCGCGGGTTGCCCCTGGGTCCTAAACACCCTGCTCCCGAGCGCACAGGGGTGACACATGCGAGGCCCTGCCCTCGCTCCAAAAGTGGTGACCCCAGCGCCCCGCCCCATGAGGCCCAGTCTGGGGACAGTACGGGGTCTGTCCTCACTGGATCCCCGGCTCTGCGGTTCCCGATGTCTCCACCCGTCGAAGGAAGGGGCCAAGGGCTGGGGAGGGGTGTCTGCGGGCAGTCTGGATCCCTAGGACCGTGGGCCTAGGACGGGTAGGAGGACTGACGCCCAGACAGCGAGGAGCATCGGGCAGTCCTGGCTGCCCCTCGCCCGCGCGAGGTCGGCGAGCCGCGCTCCAGCAGGGGGCGCTAGAAGACTGGACGCGGACTCGGCGCGCCGCTGGCGAACTTCCTACCCAAGCCCGACTTCGCAGCTTCCAGCGGAGCAGAAGCCTGCGGGGAGGGATAGAGGAAGAAGGAACTTCGATCACTATGAGGGTGTCGGGGAAAGGGGCACTGGGGTCCCGATCTTGGGGCAGCAACAGAGGAGCAGGAAGGTATAGGGTGCGCCGGGGCTGGAAGGGCGTCGGGGTGCCTGCGGGCCTTTGGGGAGTCTATTGAGCATCAGCACTAGGGGCTCTGGACGGCGGGGACCGCGGGGCGCGAGGGCGCGGTGGGCGCCGGGGGCGGGGTGCCCTCTGGGTGCCGCAGTGCAGGGCTGCGCCCAAGCCTGGCCGCGCCAAGGTGACGGGACGGCGGGGGAGGGGGCGCCTCTTTACGGGTAAATATAAATCTTACCTTATCTGGCTCCCGCTCTCTGTTCCCTAAATTCAGCTCGGAGAAAAGATGGATCATGTGAGTGGGACTGAGAGATTTATGGAGCTGAGCTCCCGCGGCTGTAAATCACCCTGCCCTCCCCGGTATAAAGTGCCCGTCCAGCCCGGTGTGGGAGAGAGGAGACGCTCGCCGTCCCCTGACCCCCAGCTCAACGCGGGCTCCCGGCCCAGCCAGGTGGGTGCCCGGACCAGACGGTCGACGGACTGGGAAGTGGGGACGTTGGACGGGGTCCGACGGGGCTACCGCCGCTTCTTCTTCCCTCAGTCGTCGATCGAGGGACCCGAAGGGTCGGCTTTTCTCTTCCCTTTCGCCAGCGCTTCCTCCACCACCCGCAGCCCCCACCCTCTGGGTGAGGAACTTCTCATTTCCTAAACCCAGGGATAAGATGGAAAAGGAGAGCCCTCGGGGTTGACCTAGGGTCCTGTCCGCTTCTCCTCCACAGTGACCCGTCCAACCTCCCCCAGTCGCCCCTGCCATGTCCGAGGAGTCGGCCCCGGGCCCCAAAGAGAGCCCGTCAGCGGCGCCGCTGGCAGGCTCCCGCGAGGCGTGGAAGAAGGGCGGCCGCCTGCTGTCGGTGCTGCTGGCCGTGAACGTGCTGCTTCTCGCCTGCACGCTCATCAGTGGCGGCGCCTTCAACAAGGTAGCGGTGTATGACACCGACGTGTTCGCGCTGCTCACCACCATGATGCTGCTCGCCTCCCTCTGGATCCTCTTCTACCTCCTCCGGACCGTGCGCTGCCCCGACGCCGTCCCCTATCGGGACGCGCACGCCGGCCCCATCTGGCTCCGAGGTGCCAGGGGAGGTGGGGGGGTGGGGAGGGGGCAGGAGAGGAGCCAGAGCCTGGGACTCTCAGAGGAATTGTGGAGTGCGTGTCAAGGTAGGGGGCTGAGAAATTCCTGGGGGGCCAGATGTGGCTGAAGATGAGATGGGCTGCTGTTGAAAGAGAAGAGGAAGGGAAATAATCTTGGAAGAAGAATGAAGTGAGGGATGGAGGGGAACTTCTTTGCTCTTCCTAAAGATTGAAAAGGAGTGGTCATGGGAGAGCCCTTTGATGGAGAGCAGAGAACAGATGACAGCTGCAACTGAAAGAGCCCACCTAGGGCCATTCTTCCCCCAATCCATGCAGCCCCAAAGAGATAGGAGCTCAATAGGATATCCATCCATCCATCCACCCACTCAATCCTATACTCATCCTCCATTCACCCATTCATCTTTCAATCCATCCATTCACCCACCCACCTATCCATCCATCCATCAATCCATCCATCCATCCGTCCATCCATCCGTCCATCCGTCCATCCATCCGTCCATCCGTCCATCCGTCCATCCATCCGTCCATCCGTCCATCCATCCGTCCATCCGTCCATCCGTCCATCCTTACAACCAGCCAGCCAGCCATTTATCCATCCTCTCACCCACCCCATTCATCTGTCCATTGATCCTCCCACCTACCCTATTCATCTCTCCATCCATCCACCCAACCATCCAACCAAACACCCATCTAGCCATCCATCCTCAGATCTATAAACCATCCTCAGATCTATAAACCATCCTCTCTGACCCATCCCCCACCCCTCATTCCCAGGTGGGCTGGTGCTGTTTGGGATCTGCACTCTTGTCATGGATGTCTTCAAGACTGGCTACTACTCCAGTTTCTTTGAGTGCCAGTCGGCCATCAAGATCCTGCACCCTCTCACCCAGGCTGTGTTTGTCATCATCCAGGTGGGTGGGAGGAGTGTTCTTGACTGTGGTGGAAAGAAGCCACACCTGGCATGAGGTCAGGAGATCTCTACTCTTCTACCCTGAGTAATCAAGTAAGGTGGGGATAGGACTGTAGCGTGGATCACATGAGTCCATAAATCTGGAAGCACTTGGTAATGAAGTAATATCCAAATGTGAGCTCCTACTTAGGTGCCCTGTGATTTCATTTCAATGCAAGCAGTGCCAGTATTAACATCTAAGATGTCTGAGTTGTGACAGCTGCCATGTCTCCTAGAACCCGGCTCGCCCTCCCTAGGTGCCTATAGAGGGCACCAATCTCAGCCCAGGCTCCTGCTGTGGTCATGGCCGGTTTGGCCTCAGCTACAGCCCATATGTTCTATATTTGTTCAGGAAATAGGTATCCTGTACCTGGGATTTTTCAAACAAGTTCAAGTACATATAGTTTTATTTGTTGCATACATAAAATGCTGAAAGATCTTCTGATTGAGCTGAGGCAGGACTGGCCTTACATGGGACCACAACAGATCTCATCCCTGCACCATGACCAGAATGACTACGTGTAGGGTTCCCTCTCCTGAAACATCACCCCTGCTGTGCAGATTTCCACAATTCAACACATTTATGACTTCAGTACTTATAATAGTTTTACCCTTTTTCAGTTTACGGATCTGAAGAGTACTCAGGTAAAATGAAAATACAGACACCAACATCAACAAATACCCTGACAAGGATTTGTTGGCAACCAGGGGAGGATTGCAGGACAACAAAGGATGGGGTTGGGGCAGGGGATGTTGCCAAAGGAAGGCGAGAAGGCACCAGAGATTCTCTCTACTTTGGACAAGACCCAGACTCAGGCTGGCCTCGCTCCCAGGAATAAGTAACTAGACAGTGAAAACTCTACCTGAAGACAAAACAAAACAAAACAAAACACCAAGAGTTTACAGGTAACATTTTGCAAGCTCTGAAAGAACAGAGAACTCTTTTATACAAATTGTTCCAGAGAAAGAGAGAAAGCTCCTGACTCATTTTGTAAAGCTAAAATAAACTTGGTAGGTTAGTATGGGGGCTCTTGAGGTGGAGGGAACATACTGCTGGGTTTGGACATAGGCACTCCAGAGTTTAGCCTGTCTGCAGAGTGAATGACCTCCCCCACTCTCTCTCAACACAGACGTACTTTCTCTGGGTCTCCTCTAAAGACTGCATTCACGTCCATCTGGATCTGACCCGGTGAGTGCTGGCTCCACAGCTCAACATCCATGCCCCCCTGGGGATGAGCTTTCCAACCTGGGGCCTGGGGCCTCTTTCTGCACCCTGCGTGGGGTTTCAGCCAAGGCCCCTTTGCTCTGTTAGCCTGATCCACCACTCTGTGCTGTGTTGTGTGTATGTGTGTGCCTACAACTCATACCTGTGTGTTTTGGTGCATGGGTTATATAGTGCACTAAATGTGCTTTCCTCCAGGAGAGGGAGCAGCAGTGGTCTGAGCCCCTGGACACCCCCTGGCCCTCTCTTGGGTGGCATCCTGGCCAGACTAAGTGTTCTTTCCAAACTCAGCCTCTCTATTCACACAGGGGCCTGACTGTTTTCTTGCTTCCCAACATCATCTCCCAGCATAGCTCCCCAGCTTTCCATCTCCCCAGAGACCCACGATGGGCCAGCATCTCACTGGCCTCTTTGCTCCCCCTCCCCAAACAGGTGTGGTCTCATGTTCACCCTCACCACCAACCTGGCCATCTGGATGGCAGCCGTAGTGGACGAGTCCGTGCACCAGACCCACTCCTATGATAGTTCCCACAGCAACGCTAGCCACCTTCGCCTCACTCCTGACCGTGAGTGTCCACTCCAGATTAAACATGGTCCAGGGACTTCGAGGCCTTAGCCTGGGTGGGGTGCTTGTCTCCCTTCCCCTCACGAGAGAGGAGAGCCTCCTCCTGCCCCAGGCTCTGCCTTTGAAGAAGTATAGGTGTAGGTGACACCAGAAGGAGGGTGTCAGGGGCATCTTCTCTTTCTGGAGGATGCAGCCTTGGCCTCACTGTTCAGGTCTCCAACCCACCAAAGAAGGGATTTCCGCTCCAGAATGAAAGGGTGAGGGTGATCAAAGTGAAGGGCAGAAAAGGGAGGCAGAATAGCTCAATGGGGAAAGCATGGGACAGAGTCTGTCAAGGAGAAGGTAGAAATAATCATCACAACGACAATATTGACACTTTACTGAGCTCCATGTGTCAGGTGCTATGCTAAGTGTCCTAAACACTCTACCTTACTTAACCCTCACAACTTCCCAAAGAGATGGGTACTATTTTTTTTTTTTTTAAGAGAAAGAGAGAGAGAGCAGGAGAGGGGAGGGGGCGCAGAGGGAGGAAGAGAATCTCAAGCAGACTCCTCACTGAGCCCAGAGCCTGGCGCAGGGCTTGATCTCACAACCCTGAGATCATGACCTGATCCGAAATCAAGAGTCAGAGGCTTAATCAACTGAGCCCCGAGATGAGAAACTAAGGCATAAAAGGTTAAATAGAGCTTGAAATTGGGAGAACTAATGTTGAGATCCGTCTTTGCTCTGAACCACTACCCTATACTGAAGAAGAATAGGATCCACAGGCCCCCTGGTCCTAGTTCTCTGGACTTCTGTAGGGCCCCCCAACTAACCAGGACCAGATTAGATGACTAAGTCCATCTGGATTTTGCCTGAAGACACACACACTCCCAGTATGGAAGGGTCCAGGAACAGAAAGCATGGAGCAGGAGACCCCAGCCCAGCAGGACTGATAAAGGGCCACGTTGCACATACAGAGGGTTCCTGAGGATGGTTAAAACCAACCCGGAGGGGGTGCCTGGGTGGCTCTGTCGGTTAAGTGTTGGACTCTTGATTTTGGCTCAGGTCATGATCTCAGGGTCATGAGATTGAGCCCTGCATTGGGCTCTGAGCTGGGTGGGTGTGGAGCCTGCTTAAGATTCTCTCTTCCTCTCCCTCTGCCCCTCCCCCTGTGCACACGCATGCTCTCTCTCTCTCTCTCTCTCTCTCTCTCTAAAACAAAACAAAACCAAAAAAACAACCTGGAGAGGTGGCCAACTTAACATGCTGGGGCCCTGGGGTGCCGAGAGGCGTACTAAGAAGGTTTGCGAGCCCTGGGTTTGCGAGCCAGGTCAATAGATCTGCCATTACAAGCCACTTTACCTCAGTGAGCCTCAGTTTCTGCATCTGCAAAACCAGTGGGAATAGTTCTGGGGATCCAAAGAGATGTTTGCCAAGATCCAAGGCATTCTATAAAGCGCACTCTGGACACAGGACAAGATTCCTATAGGTGTGTTACAATCCAAAATGATGGGGGCGGGGTCACAGGAGACACCTGGCCAAAGCAGTTCACATTCTGGACTGAGTCAGATGCCGGGGAGAGCTGTGAGGAAGCGTGAACTCTCGGGGTTCCCAAGAGCGGCACCATCTATCAGGAACTTTGCCTATCTTGGGAAGCCAGGGGTGGTTACTGGTTGGGAAGGATTGGAAATGTCTGCCTGCAGGAACAGAATGGGATGAAGTGGTCAGAATCTGCAGTTCCGATTTTTGTTTACTGAGCACTGGCTGTTTCCTGATGTGTCCCAGCCTCTGGCACATAGCAGGTGCTCAGTAAATACTTGTGGAATGAATGCGCGCCGGGCCCTGCGTAGGCATTTCGGGACATGGTGGTGAATATGGCAGACAGTGATTCCACCCTAACAAAAGTCACAGTCGAGAGGTGAGGTTCTTCTCCAGGAAGGTGGGAGGGAGGTCCAGCTCTCTGCCTCTCTCCCCACAGTGGAGCGAGCGGGCAGCTCGGTGGGAGGAGACTGTTCCTGCAACACAGCCATCTGCCAGATCTTCCAGCAGGGCTACTTCTACCTGTATCCCTTCAACATTGAGTATAGCCTGTTTGCTTCCACCATGCTGTATGTCATGTGGAAGAATGTGGGCAGGCTGCTGGCCTCCTCCACCCACGGCCACGGCCACGGCCACACGCCGTCCCGGGTCAGCCTCTTCCGGGAGACCCTTTTCGCTGGCCCGATCCTGGGCCTGATGCTCCTCGTTGTGGGGCTGGCCGTCTTCATCATCTATGAGGTCCAAGTGAGTGGGGAGGGGGGCCGCACCCAGCAGGCCCTGGTCATCTACTACAGCTTCAACATCATCTGTCTGGGGCTTATGACCTTGGTCAGCCTGAGCGGCTCAGTCATCTACCGTTTTGATCGCCGGGCCATGGATCACCATAAGAACCCCACTCGAACCCTGGATGTGGCGCTGCTGGTGGGTGCTGCCCTGGGCCAGTATGCTATCTCCTACTACTCTCTCGTAGCCGTGGTGGTGGGCACACCCAGGGACCTACTGGGGGGGCTCAACCTAGCCCACGCTCTGCTCATGATCGCCCAGCACACCTTCCAGAACGTGTTCATCATCGAGAGCCTCCACCGGGGACCACCCGGGGCTGAACCTCATGATACCACCCCCAAAGAGTCCTGCCATGGCCTTACCTTTGCCAACCTGGATGCCCTCCACACCTTGCCTGCCTGCCCACCCACTCCCAGGCTGGTTGGCATCAACCCAGTGGGCCCTCAGGAAGCAATGGCTATCATCTTGGCCCCCAGGGGCCACTGGAGACGCCGGTGCCTGAAGGACATTTCTCTGTTTCTCCTGCTCTGCAATGTCATTGTAAGTAACTGGGGGTTGCGGGGGGCGGGGGGCGGAGATGGGAATGGGCTGAGGGGAAGAGAAGGCCAAGCCAGGACGCTCTTTCAGGTTTATTCACTTGGCCTTCTCTGTCTTGCCCCCAGCCCACTTGAGAAGCCTACAGCTCTCTAGGAGAGAAGCAGGTTCAGAGAGGGTCAGATGCAGCCCCTGGGCAAACAGCATCTCAGGGCACAGAGAAAGAATGAAATCCCAGCCTTCTGGCATCTAGGCTGCAGATGGAACCGGAGGGGTCCCAGGGAATGCTGACATGGGGGCTGGGCGGAAGTGAGAGGGAGCTGTGAAGTGAGGTAGAAGGAGGGTGCCCTTGCCCCTAGGTGGAAGGTGTGACTGCTCCTGGGAACTTGTGACCAGCCTGCTTCTCAGAATAATTGGAGCAGCATCAGGAAGTAGCAGAGACCAGCATAAGTGTGAGCACTCTTAGCAGAGTGCTGCAGTGGGCTGGCCTGGAAGGGGGGGCGTTCACAACAGTGCCCCCTCCCTGCTAATTCAGCAGAACCGCTTACTAAGAGAAATTCAGTATGTTAGCAGCAGACTTTGCCCCAGGGCAGACACACTCCCCATGAAGACACACACCCCAGTAAAGGAATACCCCTCATGTGGCTACAACCCAATAGAGAAACGCTCCAGTGTAGATAAAATCCTCAGGGGAGAAATGTCTAATATGCAATCATGGACCCATGTGAGTACATCCCAAATAAAGAACACAGCTCTACTGAAGTTTCACTCAATATAAAAATGGCCCTTTCAGCTTTAACCTCCAACAGAAAAATATCCCTAATATACAAACAAACACCCTTAATGTGGGTCTATCCCAATGTAGAGCACGTCTCCAGAGTGATTCCAGCCCAGTGCACGCTACGTAAAATACACCAACAGCCCCTACTTGGGTGCATTCTTAGTGTGTTCCCACTGTGAATATTGCCCAACCTGCAGGTAATCTTAAAAAAAAAAAAAAAAAAGTGATCATCAATCTCTGACCTCCTTATATCTTGGGCCAGCTTGGGAGCCTGGCCCCAGCCTGGCCCCACCCTCACCTCCCCCACCCCCACCCCCACCCAGAGCCCCTCCTGCAGGCTGGGAGCCACCTTGTGGGAGGATGCTTTTGCTCCAGGTATCTGTTCCTGGATCACTTCTAGGAGCATCATCTCCAACTCCATTTCATAGGACAGAAACAGGCTCAGAAAGGAGCCGTGTGTGCCCAAGGACACAGTTAACTGGGGTTGGGGAGGGTGGGGCTGGCCTAGAAGCCATTGTTCTTTGCCTCATACCCCACACCTGAACCGTCTGAGCTCCAGCCAGAGATGAAGCAGGATTCCATCATTAACATCCTCCGAGACCTGGGAAAGGAGCGGAGCTGGAGAACAGAGCTTATGGAGGGTGGTGGTGGGGTACACTTCTGGCTGGATCCCGACACCCCTGCCCTGGGCCTCTCTGATTCTACCACCACCCTGCACACCTGTCTCCTGGAGAGCTGCTGATTTAGCCGTTTGTACCAAATTCTCACATCATCTATCTTCCCCTCCTCCCCATCTGACAAATGAGCCATAATAACAGGGTAGAAGAGGTGATTGCAGGGGGAAGGAACCTTAGCCTGGGGGTGGACAAGTTCAGTTTGGCACATTTTCTGAGCTCCTTAGTGAATGCCAAACCTTGCCCTAGATTCTGAGGTTCCCCACTCACCAACCCAGAGGGCTGGGACGCCCCCATCTTCTCACCCCCCAGCAAAGCCCACAGCAATGACCTGCAAGTGGCCAGTGCTGGCCCAGTCCTGACACACCCCTGTCTCCCCACAGCTGTGGATCATGCCTGCCTTCGGAGCCCGCCCTCACTTCAGCAACACTGTGGAGGTGGACTTCTATGGCTACTCGCTCTGGGCAGCCATCGTCAATATCTGCCTGCCCTTCGGCATCTTCTACCGTATGCATGCTGTCTCCAGCCTGTTGGAGGTCTACGTGTTGTCCTGAAGCCCCCCACAGAGACATGTAGGGGTGCAGCTCGCCTCATGTACCCACTCAGAAACCCCCAGGAAAGAACCCCAGGCTGGCAGTCCCTGTGCCACATTACCCACCATTCTCCACCCCACACCCCCACCCCGGGGGGGCCCCAGGGTAGAATTTGCACCAAATTTATTTTTCCAGGATGAGTTTTTACATCACAATCAGAACATACCCACCCACCCCAGCATGATCCTGGAGTATGGAGTGACCAAGGAGGGGGAGACCTATCCCTACAGTATCCAGGACAAGGCAAGATCTGGAAGTGTCCACGGCTCTGGCACCACCCCTGATCCCAGCCCTGAAACCTGGCCAGGACTGCTGCCTGGAGCTGAAACCACCTGCAGTTCACCCCCCTACCCCCCACTTCTTAGCTGCCCCATCTGAGACGATTGCAGGAGAGGATCTTGGGGGTCAGAGCTGGAAGTAACCCTGGAGATTTTCAGGTCTCAAGTTTTTCAGTGGGCGAGCCAAATCTGAGTTACACATGGTTACAGATCAGTTAGTACCTAGGTGGCTGGGAGGGGCTGGACAGAGTACGCAGGCTGCCATCTTCCTTTTCTCCTTACCCTCAAATGACAAATACATTTGTTTATGTGTTCCATGAAGCATGAAAAGTTAGGAAAGACTGCCCTAGCCCAACTACCATTTTACGAAGGAAACTGAGGCCCAGAGAGGTAAAGTGACTTGCCCAAGGTCACAGAGCTAAAGAGAGCCAGAGCCTTTCTACTAAGAATAATAATTTTCGAACAGCAGAACTTCTTTTTCTTTAAATAAAATATTTCAGGAACCCAAGTTTATAACGGAAACAGGACTGTTCTAGTTTAAGAGGTATTGGGGGGCACTGAACCTTACTTCAGGGGGCCTCCTCTTACCCACCACCCCCACTCCCTGGGGGTCCCCGAGGCAAAGCCCTGGGGCTTCTAATCCAGGAAAGGCATGAGAAGGATTTAGCAGGGAGAGAACCTGAGAAAGCCAGGCAGAGATTCAAGAGGAGGCCCTGCCAACTAGAAGAGGAGGAAGAATCCGTGGCCAGCCACAGTCAGGTGAAGGGGGGACAGGCTAGAGTGGGGGTCGGGGTGGGGGCTGGGGTGGGAGAGGTGGGAGGAGCAGCACCTGGAGCACTGAAGACTTGAGAGGAAGACGCACCTGGACCCTGCCAGCAGAATGAGGGGGGGCAGGTCTCAGAGGCTGTGCAAAGAGTGAGGAGGGCCAGAGGGGGCGACTTCCCTCCCTACCCGCCTCCTGTCCCGTCAGAACGAGGTCTCTTCAGCCCCAAGTTCACGTTCGATTTAGGGAGAGAGAGGGGAGTGGCGAGGTTGCTGCAAGACCGCACCCCTCCCGGGTGCTGGGTGGGGTACGAGAAAAGAAGACACCAGAGCTGGGCGGGGAGGGGGTCCAGTCTGTTCCCTGCTTGGCCACCAAAGGAGAGTGTGGCCTGAACCCCTTCGCTGCGGCTTAAGGACGTTGCACCCCTCCCCACCAGGGAGGCGGGCGGTCGCCGGCCCTCTGACCCTGAGGCTGCAAGCCTGCACCGCCTCCCGCCTAGCCGCCTCGCTATTGGCTGCACGGTCCCGGCTGGAGCCCCTGGCCGGGTAATTAACGAAGGATTAGTGAGATCCCCAGAGTCAACAGAAAAATCGATGGGCCGAGGAGCCCGAGCAGCGGCTGCGCAGTCCCGCGAGGGAAGGGCGTCGGGGGTATCCGTGCGGGTGCAGGGGCCTCACCTGGACTGACGATCGGCGCTGCGCTGGCAGTCGGTGGTCAGCCGGCCGCGATACCCGCCCAGGCCTCAGGTAAGGAAGGCTCCTGGCGGCCCGGCTGGGCACAAGGAGCGCCCCTGGACTGCTGGCGGGACATTCCCGGCGGGCACACCCTTGACATTCACACCTACTCCGCCCCCAAAACTGGGTTCAAAGACAAGGGGCTGCAGGGAGAGGGGAGGGAGGGCGGGATGACTTGGCGGAGGCCAACACCTGGAGACCGGAGAACCGGCCCCTCTCTGCCCCCTACCCCAACTCTAGCCCCGCCCGCGGGGCACCTCCTTTCCGCGGATGGAGCTCACAAAAGTCAGCAGGGCATGCCCCATCCCAGCCGGTCTGGGCTCGCACAGGCAAAGGTGGGTGCCGAGGCCAGAAAGAAGTAAAAACCCGGACGGCTGGGTAAAGGGGTGTGGGGTTGGGACTGCTTGGACTCCCAGTCTGAGGCATATGTGTAGCGGCTGCCCCAGGCCCCGCAGCCCCTCGAGTGGCTCCTAGAGAAATCCCCAATCTCCCAGCCCCCGCTCAGCAGCCTCCTCCGGAGCTGGCCCTGCGCTCCTAGCCAGGCGCCGCGCCCCGACGGCTGCGCCGCTTTCATCACCTGTCTCTCATCGCGACCCACAAACTAGTTTGGTGTTCCTGCCCTCCCTTGGACTGGCGTCGCGCCGATGGAAGGGCCAGAGGGCGGCGGATTCTTCCTTGTCGGTCCTGAGTGCCCTGCCCCTCTTCCCCAAGACCCCTACGTGCCCCACCCTGTAACCCTCCCCGCGGCCGAATTCGCCACTTTCAGGGCTCCCTCTAGCGACCGTTGGAGGGTTGGATTGGGGGTGGGGAGGATAGGGAAGATAGGGCGAGGACCCTGGAGAGAGAGGACCCGGAATTTTGTCCTCCAGTGTCCCCTCTAGGTTTGCAGCCCAAGCAAAAACCGCCCCTGAGATTCACCAGTAATCCTGACCCTTCCAGCCTCTCCAGGACCTCGGCGGAACTGGAAGGAAATGCGCAAGTAGCTAACAGGCTCTATGTGCATTTACATGCTTTCAATCATTTAATTTTTACGAAACCCCTATGAGGTAGGTATTATGCATTAAGTCCTTCGTGTGTTCATTCGAGAAATCTTTACTGAGCATCTTCTATGTACCAGGTACTATTCCATAGTTGTATATCCATTTTACATCATGGGAAACTGAGGCACAGAGTCTAAGTAACTTATCCAAGATCACAGAGGTAGTAAGTGCCAGAATCTGGATTCTTTTTTTTTTTTTTAAGATTATTTTATTTATTTATTTATTTATTTATTTATTTATTTATTTATTTATTTGATAGAGAGAGAAAGCAGAAAGAGAGCACACGAGCTGTGGTGGGGGGTGGAGGGGCAGAGGGAAAGGGAGAAGAAGACTCCCTGCAGAGCAGGCAGCCCGACCTGGAGCTCAATCCCAGGATTCTGGGATCATGACCTGAACCAAAAGCAGACACTTAACAGGCTGAGCCACCCAAGAGCCCCCAGAATCTGAGCTCTTAATTTTTAGGTTATACTGCCCTGGGAAGACGAGGGAGATTCTGGGGAAGGCCGAAAAGGAGCAGTTAGAGTTGGGAGAAAAGGAGCAGGGAGGTGTCCCTATGAGGCTTATGCTTGCTCAGTTTAGGTGGGGGAGCCTGCGAGGAAAGACAAAGATCATCTCTAAAGCCTCCTGGGCTGGGCCAGGATGGAAAGCACATAAAGGGAAGGGTCTCTGTCCATGCCTCGGGTGCTGAAATCTCCCCCAGAAAATGGCAGAATCAGTCAGCGAGAGTGTCTTGCCTGTGCTAGGTTTGGAGTGTTCAAGTTAAGCAGGACCTGGTCTCCACCCTGGAGGAGCTCCTGGCTTTGAGGGGAGCCAGCCATACCCACAGCACACCCACTTTCAATAGATGCTTGGGCAGGGAGAGAATGCTTCCCAGGCGAGGTGCTTAAGGTAGATCGTGAGGATGGGCAAGAGCCATTGGTGGAGGGTAGCAGGCAAGACAGGGGAAGAGCGGGCTCCAGGAGTGAAGGGGGGAGGCAGGAAGCCACACAAGAAATGTGGAGCCCTGGAGCCCTCTGGCTAGGCCTGGATCAACATGGGGGCAGGTGCCCGAGTTTGACAGAAGAGTCGGACAGGGAGGGGGAAAAACTGGAGCAAAGATGGCAGAGAGGACTGGGAAAGGGGGACAAAATCATTTGTAGAATCTTAAAGAGAGGACTGAGTTTTCTTATTCTATTTGCCATAAGAGAACCAAAGAAGGTATAAATACTGAGCAAGTTCACATGGGAGCGTGGGGGCTGGAGAGGCTGTATTTTAAAGCCAAAATGCGGTAAGGGTCTTTTGGAAGTTACAGAGAGGAAAAGGCTAAAGCTTCTGAAGCTCCGAGTCCACAGGCAAAGACAGAACAAAGCACAGTGAGTTAAAACGGATCGAGCATGATAGGTGATGCTCCAGCAACAAGCATGGGGTGCAGCGGGGATACCTCGTGCAGCCTTGGCATGGAGTTCAGGAAAGGCTGCTTAGAGGAGGTGGAGTTCTGCCTTAAGATGCAATCAGCCAGGGCGCCTGGGTGGCTCAGTCGGTTAAGCAACTGCCTTCGGCTCAGGTCATGATCCTGGAGTCCCGGGATCGAGTCCCACATCGGGCTCCCTGCTCAGCGGGGAGTCTGCTTCTCCCTCTGACCCTCTTCCCTCTCGTGCTCTCTATCTCTCATTCTCTCTCTCTCAAATAAATAAATAAAATCTTTAAAAAAAAAAAGATGCAATCAGCCAAAGGGCAATGGGGTGGGCATTATGGGCAAAGGATGGGATGTGGGTGGATAGGGAGGTGAGAAAAAGCCAGGACATTCTGGGAACTGCAGCAAGATGACACAGCCCACAGCAGGGAGTGGGGTCTGAGCACCATGCTAGAGAGGTAAGCCAAGGGCAGACCAGGAAGCGACAGAAGCTAGCCTCCAAGCCCAGGTTAAACATGCACTGCCTGGTTTCGTTTTGAAATGCTGTGCAGGCCATGCGAGGTAGATTGGACTTTATACTGAGGGCAATTGTTTGCCTTTTTTTAAATTTATTATTTTAACCCAAGTATAATTAACATACAGTGTTATATTAGTTTCAGGTGTACCATATAGTGATTCAACAATTCTATACATTCGTCAGTACTCATCACGATAAGTGTGCTCTTAATCCCCAACATGTACTTCACCCACCCCCCAACCCACCTCCCCTCTGTAACCACCAGTTTGTTCTCTATGTTTAAGAGTCTGATTTCTCGTGTCTCCTTTTTTGTTGTTCATTTGTTCCTTAAATTCCATATATGAGTGAAATTGTGGTATTTGTCTTTCTCTGAGTGACTTATTGAAATAAGTCCCAGCAATTGGTTGCCTTTGTTGGGCTCGAAGTAGGGGAGAGTCATAGTGGATGGGGAGAGTCACAGTGGATAAGGAGACAGTCCAGGAGAGAGAGGAGGGGGCCCTGGACTAGGGTAGATGTTGAGGTCAAGAAAAATCTAAGGGAGACTTGTGGACTAGAATGGACAGGTGTGGACCCGAGAGATGGAGGGTTGAGGGGAGAGACAAAGAGTGTGCCCAGCTACCTGCTGGGAGAGGTGGGGATGAAGATGCCACTCGCTGAGATAGTGCAGGCCTCCTACAGCCTGGAGGATGGGGAGAGGGAGCACTTGGAACCCTGGGCCCAGAGCACCAAGCATGTAAGGGCAGTGGCAGCCCCAAGGGAGAGCACCAGAGGTGGCTGGGGATGGTGAGAGAGTCTCCCAGGTCAGCTGAGGAGAAGCCCAGGGCATCCCCACTCTCTAGTGCGGCTTCAGTCCCACAAGGAATGGGTACCCGAAGGGCCCACAGGGGAGCCTGTTGGACTCCAGGCTGGGGCCCTGAGCTGCAGGTATGGGGTGACCAAATATCTGGGCCCAGGGGAGGCGTGACGAAGAGTTGGCCTGAGTGAAAGCTTGAGGAAGGTGAGGAAGTAGCAGGAGACATTGAGGGAAAGAGAAAAAGGCAAGGATGGTGTTCCCCACGTTGTGCTTGGCATTCATAGGTCATCCGGGATTCAGGGTTGGGGAGATAGTGCATATAGAAGTCAGTTCTGTCTAAGTCTGGGGCATAGCATGCATGCTGATCCCAACCTGTCCCTTGTTCACAGCAGACATTGCAAATCAATCCCAGAACTTTCCCTCCTAAACCGTAATGTGCTTTAAAATTAAGTTGAATCACATGAACAATGTGCTTTTAAAAACTAGAGCATTAAACCACTCCCAACCCTAGTACCCTCCTCCCTTTCCCAGAAGAAACTCCTGTTGTGAACCTGGTGGGTGTCTTCTAGACCTTTTATATAGGTAATTTTATATATGCCCATATATACCCATAATGGGGTATTATTTCAATGACAACATTCTTTCCCACCAAGCCCACACTCAGCCTCAGGATCCTGCTCAACACAGCATGCTAGGCAACCATTACCCAACCAACCATAGTCAGAACAAGGGAGGACATCTACTTGCTCTCCCTGCCTTCAGGAGGGAAATTCCTCCCAGACGTCAGCAGGACACGAGCTGCCTACTCGTGGTGAAAAGTCACAACCCTGGAAAACGTCCAGCATCCAGACATGATGCAAATGCCCTTGGCTCCCTTGACAGATGTTATTTTCCATCTCAAGATCAGGCACTGAGGCAGAAAGTGGGATAGCCCTGCAGGGGGTTGGGAGAGAGGTATTCCTCCAGCCAATCAAAATTGGAGCACAGAGAATTTCCATATCCCCTGGTCTGTTTGAACCTCCTCAGGTACTGTAAAGTAGATAGGGCAGCTGCTGTTATTTCCAATGTCCGACCGGGGAGGTTGCATAGCTTGCCCTACGTCACACAGCAGTTCCCTAACTGAAGCCAGGACAGCCTGGCAGCCCACCAGGACCCTCTCTCCCCAGCCCCTTCTCAGGCTCCATCCATGGCCTCCCCGGAAGCACAGGAGACTGGAGCAGCCCCGGCTGAGGGGAACCAAGTGGACGTGGGGGCTGAGAAAATAGGAGCTCCCGCCTCGCCCCGCCAGAAGTCCTGGCTGGTGCAGCATTTCTCCCTGCTGCTGCGGAGGGACAGGCAGGCCCAGAAGGCAGGGCAGCTCTTCTCGGTGCTCCTGGCCCTCAATGTGGTGTTCCTGGGTGGAGCCTTCATCTGCAGCATGATCTTCAACAATGTGGCCGTCACGCTGGGCGATGTGTGGATCTTGCTGGCCGCCCTGAAGGCCCTGTCCCTCCTCTGGCTCCTCTACTTTGCTGCCCGCACCACCCGCCACCCACACGCTGTGCTCTACCATGACCCTCACGCGGGACCCATCTGGGTGCGGGGTGAGTGTTGGGCCACTGGGTGGATGGAGAGGGGTGGGGAGGGAGAGCCAGGTCTAGGGGAGGTGCCAACAGCCACCTGGCCCGGCCAGGCTCCCTGGTGCTCTTCGGCAGCTGCACCATCTGCCTCAACATCTTCCGGGTGGGCTATGACGTGAGCCACATCCATTGCAAGTCACAGCTGGAACTCATCTTCCCTGTCATCGAGATGATCTTCATCGGTGTCCAGGTGACAGACGGCTCCCATCCCCATGCCTCATGCACACACACCCTACCTTTGCAGACAGGGCCTGGGGGGGTACACACATACCACAGCCCCCCACTAATGTCTGCCTCCACGTGCCCACATTCATGCACACCTACATGTACCTGCATCAGCACACCCACCGTGTCACTGAAATGCAGACACCTATAAATATATCTGCCCGCGCATACCTGCATACAACTAAATCTACACCCTCCAACCCCCACCCAGTTACACAGTGCTACTCTCAGTAAGGGGTACTTACTACTACTACTCGCACTCCTGAGCATTGTGCTAGGCGTTTCTTTGCATCATCCTTTCCATCCCCCCAGTAAGTGGCCATTCCCCTGAGGGGTAGGCATTTTAGCTTCATTTTAGAGCGAAGGAGACTGAGGCTCTGAAGTATTCTGCCACTGGCCCAAGATGACCCGGCAAGGAAATAGCAGAGCCAGGATTCCAATCCAGACTTCCTCACTGTCACTTCTGTTGTAAATACACACACGCAATTGGGGCACACACCCCACAGTTCTACCACCACTACCCCCAGCCCCTGGGCTCAAGGCCCCATCTCTTTCAGACCTGGGTGCTCTGGAAACACTGTAAGGACTGTGTTCAGGTCCAGACCAATTTCACTAGGTAAGATGGGGCACCTTCTCTCCCTCCAACTCCTGGAGCTCCCTGTCCCCGACTAGTGCCTGTTCCCACAACTTCTTTGGACATGATGTCCCTGGGGTCACGGGTTAGTCTGGGAAGGGGTCCCAGGTGGCTCCTAGGGCTGCCTCCCCTGTAGTCCTCATGCCAGATGGGATCTGGCTTTGGGAAAGAGTGGTCACCCCAAAGGCAGTGGTGATGAGGGCGGGGCACCTGGGGAGCCGGCCAGGCTGTGTGGGCAGAGAGTGTGGCACCTCCTCCAGGTGTGGCCTAATGCTGACCCTGGCCACAGACCTGCTGCTGTGGGTTCTGGCTGTCACCAACGACTCCATGCACCGTGAGATCGAGGCTGAGCTCAACGCCCTCATGGAAAACTTCTCAGGTACGGAGGAGACATGATCCCCCAGCCCCGAATGCGCGCACACACACACACACACACACACACACACACGCTACACTCCCTCCCAAAGCGGGAGCAAACTCTGGAGGCCAGATGACAACTAAACACTGGTAGACACCCTGCCCTCATTCTGTGCCTGTCCCATCGGGTGCTAGCACCCTACAGCCATGCTCCAGGCATCCGCCTAGCTGTCAGCTAAGTAGCCACTAATCCTGGCTGAGCTATTCACGGGTAAGTCCAGCTGTGCACCCCACCCCTAGTATTTGCATTTTACTTGCAAGAAACTAAAAAGACTTCAGGACTGAAAGGATTGTCTTCTGAACACAATTGCAGACACCTGGACATATCAGGAGGGACAGAAGATTTCGGGGCAGAAAGAACTCAGAGAGTTCCATGTGCCCAATCCCCTACCCGTCCATTCCACCCTTAGAGGCTGTATCCCATAAACCTACATGTGGGACACAGCCATACCTGCACGTATAAAGCACCCCCCCCCCGAGGTGGCATCACCATCTGGACCTGTGTACAGCCAAGCCTTCCCAGCACATTCATGCATTTACACACCCACATGCCAAAGTCATGACCCGCCTGTGTACTGTGGACATTCTTTACACTCAGACACATTTTACAGAAGAGCTGTGCAAAGAGAATTTGTTTGGCAAGTGACGTCACGATTCTTTTATTATTAAAAAAAAATTTGAACATACAGATGAGTAAAAGAATGGGATATACCTATCAACTAGATGTAATAATTATTAACATTTTGCCATATTTATTTCAATTTTTTGCTGAATTACATTACGGAGATCACAGCATTTCATCTCAAAACATTTTAGTGCACATCCCTTTAAAATAAGCATATTTCCTTACACTACCACAATGCTCTTATAATTTCTAACAGAATTCCTCAACATCATCCCCATCTTCTCCAACAATCTATATTCAACTTTCTCCAACCAGCCTATGAAATGTCTTCTACGATGGTGTGTTCAAACACGCAATACGTTCGGTTGTTCCATCCCTTAAGTCTCTGTTTTCCTAATGGCATTGAGGTTTGTCAGACGGCTGCCTAGTGGTGGCATTTGACTTGTGCTCCTCTTCCCTGCTTTGCCTGCAAACTGCAAGTACGGACCAAAGTCTTGATTCAGGTTAAACACTCTGGGCACCAGCGTTCCACAGGTGATGCTGCGTGCTTTGCAAGGCACCTCATGGCGAGGCTAGATGCCTGATTACCCCACAGTGCATGCTGCTGTGCATTCAGGTTATCAAGTTGTAGATTCTCCCTTGTGCCCGGCCAGTGATCCGTAGAGGTGACATTTGGCCCCAAAGAGACACCATGTGTTGAATGCTTTAGGAAAGCTTGGTGCCTGAAGCCTGGAATCCTTTTGCAAAGAAATGACCATCCTGTGATTTCCGATTTTCTGTCTCTGGGCCTCAGTTTCCATGTCTGTAAAAATGGGCGGCTGGGTCCTTTCCACCTCTGGCATACTCCAGGGGTATGGGACTGATTTGTGCAGCTGGTTTCCTCCGAGCAAGGCCCACCTGAGTGACGATCACTTCCTGCCCTGCCCCTGCCAGGCAATGACACCAAAACCTGCCTCTGTCTCAATGCCACGGTGTGCGAGGTCTTCCAGAAGGGCTACCTGATGCTCTACCCCTTCAGCACCGAGTACTGCCTCATCTGCTGCGCTGTGCTCTTTGTCATGTGGAAGAATGTGGGCCGCCGCCTGGCACCCCACACAGACGCCCACCCCGACACCCCTCCCTTCCACCTGCACGGGGCCATCTTTGGGCCACTGCTGGGCCTGCTGGTACTGGTGGCAGGCGTGTGCGTCTTCGTGCTCTTCCAGATCGAAGCCAGTGGCCCCACCATTGCACGCCAGTACTTCACCCTCTACTATGCCTTCTACATAGCCGTGCTGCCCACCATGAGCCTGGCAGGCCTGGCGGGCACGGCCATCCACGGGCTGGAGGAACGAGAGCTGGACACGCTCAAGAACCCCACCCGCAGCCTGGACGTGGTGCTGCTGATGGGTGCCGCGCTGGGCCAGATGGGCATCGCCTACTTTTCCATTGTGGCCATAGTGGCCACTCGCCCCCATGAGCTGCTCGACCGCCTCATCCTGGCCTACTCGCTGCTGCTTATCCTGCAGCACATCGTTCAGAACCTCTTCATCATTGAGGGCCTGCACCGGCGTCCTCTCTGGGAGACGGCGCCCGAGGGCCTGGCGGGGAAGCCCGAGGCTGAGCCACCCCGCCGGGGCTCCCTGCTGGAGCTGGGCCAGGACCTGCGGCGGGCCTCGCTGGCCTACATCCACTCCTACAGCCACCTCAACTGGAAGAGGCGGGCACTCAAGGAGATCTCGCTCTTTCTCATCCTCTGCAACATCACGGTGAGTGGAGAGGAGCTGGGGGCGGGGCGGGGGCGGGGCGGGGCGTGGGGGCGGGGCTGGCCAGGCGCATTCATGGAGCGTTGACCATCCCAAGGGCAACTGACCTGTCCCTTGTATTGTCAAGGACAACTGCCTCTTTCCAACTAGCCCCATGCTGCTTGAGAGCAGTGTCCCCCCAGCATCCTGCAAGGTGCCTGGCATGAGTGAATGTGCCAAACATGTAAGACTTCCACCCTCAGCAAGTTCACTCTCTAGTTGGAGAGACACCGGGGACACCAAATAATTGATCATCCACTGAATTTGGCCGAAGGAAGAGATCATTAAGTGCCTGGTTTTCTAAAAACTCTCTAGCGGGAGGAGTTGATGATGACTGCCGGGTGTGTGGCGGCTGAGGTCACACGTCCGCCTCTCCATGCTGTCCCTCAGCAGCTCACTGATTCGGCACACTAACCCTGTGCAGCAGTGCCCATGAGGTGCCATCACTGCCTCTGTTTGGCAGATGGGGAAACTGAGGCTTAGGTGGTCCCACAGCCCGTCAGCAGCAGTGCCAGGACAACTAGGGCGGTCTGAGGGCGTGTTTGAACACCACAACCCAGGTGCGTCGCGGTGGAAACACCTCAAGTGGTGAAGCCCCCGCCACAGGCAGACCACATGCCATAACCTGACCCGAAAGTGCAGTAGGAGCTCAGAAAAGGAAGTGCGGGCCCAAGGGGCCAAGGAAGGTCTCATGAAGGTTGAGTCTGGGTCTTGAAAAAGGGGCAGAATTTGGACAGAAGACAGGGCCCGGCGGGGGGAGCAGAGAGAGTCAAGAAGGTGGTTGAGATCAGGGCAGAGGGGAGCCCAGCTTGATAGAGCAGGCTGGGCCATGGCTGGTGGCAGTAGAGCCTCATGGTCCACCTGGAGTTCAGGCTGGCAAGCTGGTGAGGTGGCTGTGATATGGGGTGGGGGGGATGTAGCTGGGGGGTGGTGGGGGCAGCTGGCTTTGAAAGCCCAGGGCTGAGGGGATATTAGGGTGAGGGTCTGCCCCCCCCGAGAGGAGTCCCCTGGGGCACGGAGAGCCCTCTCCCCTACTCATTCCCCTCCTCTCCTCCCCAGCTGTGGATGATGCCTGCATTTGGCATACACCCGGAGTTTGAGAACGGGCTGGAACAGGACTTCTATGGCTACCAGACGTGGTTCACCATCGTCAACTTCGGCCTGCCTCTGGGGGTTTTCTACCGCATGCACTCCGTGGGGGGGCTGGTGGAGGTCTACTTGGAAGCCTGAGGCTGCCCAAAGACCAACCCCCAGCAGAACTCCAAAATGCCAAGGCTGGGGAGAAGGTAGCCAAGAGCCTCTGAGCAGGGGCGCCTAGACCAGACTGGGTTCCCCATAGCCTCCCCCTCCCCAGATCCTCACTGAGGTGGGGGGCACCGTCTGCAACCCAAGACCAAGGGGAGGGCCTGGACACTGAGCTTCTGATGCCCGTGCCTGGGACGTACCTGCCCCTGCTCACCACCACAATCAGTACAGCCCAGGGTACACCCCGGGAAGCCTGAGTCGAGGATGGGTGCTGCCACCCAGCCCGGCCGGCCTCAGGGGTCTGCCTCCTTCTGTGGGAGGGCACTTGGTCAGAGCTCAGCCCAGGACATCCCAGAAACTTGCAGCCCCGAAGGCAGCCCTGGCCCTCCCTCCCCATGTACTCTGTCTCCTAATGAGCTCATTAATTAGCTACCGGGCAGGGTTCAACAGCTCTCTCCTGCTGCCATAAACCCTGTTTGTTTGATCGATTACATTCAGGCTTCGTGACATTTGTTCCCGGGGACAGAGCTGTCACTCCAAGTATGGTGGGAAGGGACAGTCCTCCTGGTGAGGGCTGGGACAGTCCGTTTCTGAGCCAGGAGGGGTCTAAAACAGTTCTTCCCTTGTCTGATTCATGGGAGAAGGTGAGGAGAGGGGCTGGGGCTCTCACACGCCCCCACCCCTCACTAGCACGATTCTCTCTGGAACAGAGCCCCAGGTGACTTTCTGCAGCGGGCTTACCACAGGGACTGCAGCCTCTGGCTGTCTCGTCTCCATGCCTGCTGTATCCTCGGAGCTATCGGGTAGAGAGGGCAGGGACTGACAGCCCATCCATCTCCCTGAGCCCAGTGCAAACAGTGGGCTGTGCCCCGGGTGAGGCCCCGGGTGCGGCTCAGGCGAGGCAGCCCAGTCTTCCCATGCCTCTGGGCCCCTCCCCATGAAGCTGGGCACTGGCAAGCCCCAGGGACCCCCAGTACTGTTTCGGTGGCTTCCTGGGGCCAGCAGAGCCCCCTCAGGGGCCTTCTAGAAGGCTGGGAGGCCAGCCTCTCTCCTCTCCTGCATGGGCTCTTTCTCTGTATGGCCATAGCCCAGGGGGCCACGCCCTGGGTGAGAGAGTACAATCCTCCATTTTCCCACCCAAGAAAATGACAAGTGCTCGTTCCTGGGCCAGTGCTGAGGGCCCTCTGGGGACTGATTCTGGGAAGCAGAGGCCCCAGCGCCCCTGAAGACAAGAGCCATGATCCCAGCCCCTCCCCTCCAAGCACAAAGAGCCAGGACGTGGAGAGGGTGGTTTATTGTGTAAAGAGGCTGATTGTACAGAGCAAAGATTTTAAGGACACAGGTAGGGTGAGGGAGACCCAGAGGCCAGAGCTGGAGGATGGAGGGGGGCACCCTGCCCCCTCTGGCCCCCAGTCATCCAGGCAGGGGGGATTGAACAGCTCCCTCCCCACTCTTCTTCCCCCTCCCCAATACTGGATAACAGGGAGTCAGGCTATATCCATTGACCAGGAAGAATACAGCAGGAGACCCTCAACACCCGGCCCCAAACCCCTAAAATGCATGAGGTCTCCCAGTCTGGCTTCTGCAGTCTACCAGCCCCCCAGTCTCCTTCTCAAGCAGCCTGGCCACCCCCCTTCCTCCTTCGGGCCCTGGCAGCAAGCTGGGCCTGGACGAGGTGGTTTCAGGCTAGAGGGCATGGAAGGCCCCCCCCCCGCCCCGCCCCTGCCCAGGTGCCTCAAGGGACAGCCCACAGCTCCCTTGTTGGGCAAGGCATGAGGGCTCAGTGACCTGGTGGCCTCTGGGGATGATAGGCAGCAGAGAAATGGGTCTTGAGGGAGAGCCAGAGTGAGGTGGGGGCTCTGGCCAGGGCCTGCAGTGCTGGAGATGGGAGGCTCCTGTGAGTCCAGCCCTCGCGGGGGTGATCAGTACCTGTCCCCATCATCCCAGCCACCAGGGGCCTTTAGGGCCCGCCACCCAGGACTCAGCCCCTCTGCCAGCCCCGGTTGGTTGTGGTAATTTAAAGCCTGGAACAGTGGGTCAGGGGAGCATCGGGGGACCAGGACCCCACCCTTCCCGGTCCCATCCCCCAGTAGGCTTCCATCCTCACACCCGCTGGATCTCAAACAGCTTCACATCTGTGTCGTACCAGACAGGTGGGTCCACATTCCTGTGGAGGGAGTGGGCTGTCACGGGAGTGCTGGGAGACCTTGCAGAAAAGACTGGGGAGGAGCTAGAAGGTCATCCAACCCAAACCCCTTCCACCCTGATGTCCCACCCCAAGCAGTGGGTGTCTACCCTCTAGACAAGACCATCCTGGTTGACTATGTTGACATGAACCCCACTACCACGGTGGGACCCAGAGCTGAGGCCCCCCTGGGCAGGCCCTCAGGGGAACACCAGACCCACCTCAGATAGATGACCCCCCACATGTAGGTGCGGAACCACATCGCCGTGCCCGAGTTGGCCTGGTACTTGCGGATCAGGATGGGGTGGGGCACAGGGAGCAGTCCCACCAGGGTGCCATGCTGCAGGAACCTCAGGATCTCTGACTCATCTGTCAGGCCCCTGCCAGGAAGAGGGGGTGGTTTCCCATGTGCTCACATGGGAAAATCCACTCTGAAAGTCAAGGGGAGCATGGGCCCCATGCTCCCAGCCACATCCCACCCAAGCCAGGGCTTGCCCCGCCTCAGAGCCCACCTGCCACTCCTGCCCGCCACCCCCACCCCCACCCCCGGGCTCACTTGTCAATGCAGATCTTTTCCACCTGGGGAACCAGCACTTGGAGCAGCCTCATGATGGTCTGCAGCGGCAGCTTTGACTTCCAAGAGAGAACCTGAGGGAGGGACCGGGGTTCCTGGGGCTGGGAAAGCAGCCCCCACGGGCAATGGGATAGGCCTGACCCCTGACCCAGAACCACAGGCTCCCCAAGGCAGGAAGTGTCCCCGCTCACCACAGCAAGGGCCTGGCACAGGGCAGTGCCCACGAACAGTAACTGTTATTCATGGTAAGAGCCTCTCACTGAGCATACACTACGTGCCAAAAACCGTTCCCTTGGAGCCTCACAATGGCTTGATCAAGTAGGATGTTTATCCCAAGGGAAGTGCAATCAGTAGTGATCACAGGACACACAGAAGGGAGTGGACAAGCGACTTGGGGAAAGAAGCTGGAAAGGAAAGCTTAGTAAGAAAGCTAGCACCGTGGGGCAGCTGAAGCTCAACCCTGCAGCAGAACTCTGGGACAGTGTAGACAGGGGAAGCCACCGGCCCAGAGCGGCCAAGGTCACCCAGCCGGAAGGAGTGACCCAGAGCCTGGTTCCCAGGCTGGTTTTTGGATTTGGACACATTCCCATCCAAGCCTTAACTGAGCTGTTCCTAGGCCAGGCGCCCCTGTCTGCACCCACTCAGAGCCATCTGCCCAAACCCTCACCCATTCCGATGTTGGGTTCCACTGCCCACTGGCTGACACGCTGGACAGTCGCCGCTGCTCCCGCCACGCCTGGTCGGGCTCCTGGTCCCAGAGAAGGGATGGGAGTGAGGGGAGGAAGGAGTGGGCACAGAGCGGGGGCGGAGGGCAGAGGAGCAGCCCTTCTTCCCAGTCCCTCCCACAGTCTGGAATCCAGGAGGCAATGAGGCCTCTCTCCTGGCTCATGTTGGTGGGGGGCTCACTCCCAACAGAGGGGACAGCCCGGCCCAGCACCCTTTGCCCTGGGCCCCAGGCCCTGCCCAACACAGCCCAGCCCGATGACAGGTTTAGGGCCAGGGGCTGACTGGGCTGGTCGGGTAAAGGCCAGCTCAGCTGAGATAAGGCTGATGGATGAGGAGTCTGAAGGCCAAGGGCTTAAGCCTGGGACTAGTAAACAAGGGAGAGGTCTGTGAAAGCAGCCCCCTGGATGTCCTGGGCACAGGATTCCTGCCCTCTGCTGCAGGTGACCCCAGCTGCGCTGGCCCAGCCCAACCACAGAGGCCAGGGAGAAAGGGAAGTCCCAACGTCACCCCACTGCAGGAGTCCCCATCGCCCACCTCCGTGGCCGGGCTGCTATCTGCTGAGCTCTGCTGGGACGTGGGCTCCAGGGATCGCAAGGTGCCATCCTCTGACACCTGGGACTTCTCTGTCAGCTTGTCAATGCCTGGGAGCGGGGGTGGGTGGGTGTGAGGACACCTGCCAAAGGGCCGCTCTGAGAAAGCATCCGCACTGGACCCCACGAGGGCCCCCTCTTTCCTCCACCCACTTCAGCATGCTATGCCTGATCCCCCCAATCCCGCCCCTACCCAGCACCAAGCTCACCTTCCTGGGCCTCCCAATACCCCCTCCCCATCCCCTCAGCTTCCCAACTCAGCCCATGCCCTCTGCCAGAGATGGGATAACATCCCAGAGACCCTGCCCATCCCCGAACCATGCTGGCATCCACACCCGCCCCTGCCACTTGCCAGGCCAGACCTGGGGTGGCCACCAGGCTGGTCTTGAGAGTGCCAGGCTCAGCGGGGGCAGCAGGGTGGGAGCCCTCCATAGAGGCGCCCTCCTGTGAGCCAGTTCGGGACAAGGGCTCAGGTGCCCGCCGACGCCTTTGCAAGGCCTTGTGGATAGCAGGGGGGTCGGTGGGCAGGTTGGCCAGCTGGTGGAAGACGCTGCGTTTTCGGATGATGGCGTAGACCAGGTTGGAGTTGCCTGTAGGGAGGGAGCATGCCACACGTCAGGGAGGCCCCCTTGCCTCTTTCTCCACCTGGGCAGGTTTCTGGGAGGGGGAGTTTAGAGGACAGGAGGGTGTCTAACCCCAGGGGTAGGAGATGGTACAGGGCACCCAAGAGAGGAGGCTAGAGCAGGGCGGCACCTGGCGGCATGTGCAGCTATGGTTACACCAGGGCGTTACATCGCTGGAGAGGAGCTTCTGGGCCGAGCTCCCCCGGTGCCGCTCCCCAGTACCTTCCAGACCCCCTCGCAACCCAGCCCACTAAGGGGTAACACTGGGAAAGTGGGGCAGGCCCAGCATGTCAGAGTCCACACCAAGCCAGCTTTTCTTTACTTTGACTGTGTCCCTGAGCCAGGTCACCAGGGAGGACAGACCACATGGCCCGTGCCCCACGCTGACTTCCCTCGGCTCTGGGCCTTCAAGGCCCCATCCAGCAATCTGGTCCTGCCTCTCGCCACACTGTCCTGCTCCCAGTTCAACATCTCACCCCAGGACCTTTGCATAGGTTGCACCCCCGCCACCATACAATGCTTTCTCTGCCCCACCCCACCTCCATTCATCCCTCACAGATCAGTGGAAATATTATTTATTTTGGAAATAATAGTAACTGCTAATATCTAAGTCACCAGACACTGTGCTAAATGCTTTTTGGGGGTGATTACTTAATCCTCCCAACACCCTCAGACGTAAGGACTCCACCACTGTTGTTATAACTGTCTTCCAACTGAAAACACTAACGCTCAGAGAGGTTATGTGCCCATAGTCACGGAGTTACCAAGTGGCAAGACCCTCACTACACCAGGCAGTGTGGCATTGACAACACCCATCGGGGTCCTACCTCTCTGAGCTTCCCTTTCATCAGATTTAAGGTGACCTGTCTGTCTGGGTGACCATCTGTTTAAAGCCTTTCTCTGTGCCTTAATCCCCAGCTGTGAGCTGCACTGGCAAGGAGCATTCCGCTTTGTTCTCCCCTGTATCCCCTGCACCCAGCACTGGCCTGGGTATGTAGCAGATGCTCAATAAATGCATGTTGAACAAACGGAGTTGCGGGGGGCAATGCAGAGGGTTCTGCCCTCCTTAGATGGACGGGAAGGTGTCCTTGCACACAACCCGTCCTGATTCCCGCCCCTGAGGCCAGACCAGGGCTCAGGCTGCCACCTCACCATCGAACTGGTACTGGATGATGTTGTTGAAGGCCTCCAGGAGGAAGAAGACCAGGTGGTGGTTCTGGGCAGCAGAGAAGAGGAACCAGGTGGTGGAGAAGGCCTCCAGCAGGTGCAGCAGCTTATTGGCAGCCACCATGGATAAGCTCTTGAGGTAGGGGGACACTGCAGGGGAGGAGCCAGCTCACTCCTGGGCACCCCCCCACCCACCCAGCCATCCCTGCACACCCTCGACTTGTGCGGGACACCATGCTCCCGCTGCCAAACCCTCCCTGCCCCGTGCTTGTAAAATCCCCCACAAAGCCCGGAACACCAAACCCTCAGAGGCTGAGGCCACACGGGCCATGCTCTGCAGAGCTCAAGGAGGCCATGTGGGCCCCACCCTTGTCCCTCCACCATGTGGACAGCCGAACCATTTACTGAGCTACTCACACACAGCATCTTGCCCACTCCTCCCCACACTTCTGAAAGGGGGGGCTGGGTGCAGAGGGAACCAGCCCCATTTCAAAGACTAAGAAACTGAGACTCAGACAGGTTTATAAACTTGCCCAGAGTTCCCAGTTATAAAATGACTGGGCAGGGAGACAAACTCCGGATCTTTAAGTCTTTCTGGAATATCAAACTGGGATCACAATACTCCACACATAATCAGAAACTTATTTTTTGGCAGAGCCTGAGAGGGGGAACCCGAGATGAGACATGTGTGGACGGCCTCAAGTCTCAAAGGGATCCGTGCGCTTCCTTGTCTCACGTCTCCCTCCCTGCCCAGGCTGGGGCAGAGACAGCAGCTTTCCTGCTCAACAATGCATTCTCAGAGCCAGCTACACTTAACCAGTGCTCAGTTAAAATGTGTGAGTTGGACCCAGCAAGCAAACCAGGAAGGGAAGGCAGGGTTCTGGCCCCAGAGCTCACAGCACAGCTAGAGCTCTGTCCCACCAACTCTGGAGTCCGAACCACTCCCACCCAGGGCTGTCCTCTCCAAAAGATGGCCATGCTGAAGTCACCCTGCCTCAGCCCACGGCCACCCGCTTTGCTGGGCCCAGCACGCCAGCCAGCATGAGCCCCTCCCCTCGGAGGCAGCTGTCCCCAGTCCTCGCTGGAGGGTAGGGCACCTCCCGGCACCCTGAGACCATGCCATCCAAACCCACGCTGTCCAATGCAGTAGCCACGAGCCACCTGTGGCCATCCCACGCTTGAAACATAGCTAGTTCTAACTGAGATGTGCTGCACGTGTGAAACACAAGATTTTGAAGTCTGGGTGTGAAAAAGAATGTAAAATATCCAAGTAATTTTTAATGGGGGTTATATGTTGATATGATGGCATTTTGGATAGCGTGGATTACAGAAAATGTATTATAAAATTACTGTCACCTCTTTCTCTCTTTCTCTTCCTTCCTTCCTTCCTTCCTTCCCTCCTTCCCTCCTTCCCTCCTTCCCTCCTTCCCTCCTTCCTTCCTTCCTTCCTTAATATGCCTCAAAAATTGACGAGTACGTATGTGGCTGCCATCATACTGCTATTGGACTGGGCAGGTTTGAACCAGGGAGGCGCGGCATATCAGCCTGTGGCCTGGCGCCACCTGGTGGTGAGCACGGGGAAGGCGGGCTCCCAGCACCCCTACCGTTGACCACGATGGTGAGCAGGCAATCGAAGAGGGGCTGCAGCCGCTGGTGACCGCTGGTGATGATCTTGTGGAATACCTGTGCCGGGAGGCAGAGGGGTGGCCATGGGGTCCCCTCCACCTCCAGACTCAGCCAAAAGGACGTCCACCATGCCCCCATGTCCTGGATGAGGGAGCCCCCTCACCACAATGAGCAGGTCTGCGTGGGTACCGGTAAAGACCGGGATGTCCATGGGCACGCGCACCGAGTAGGGCTTGTTCAGCCGCACCCCAAAGTTCCGCTCCCCGCTCAGAAGCAACAGGATGAAGACTCCAATGTGCATCAGGCCCACCCGAGCTGCAGCATGGGGTGCGGGAGAAGTCACCACACGGGGTAGGCACGGGAGGAAGGAGTGCAGGGCAGGGACCCATCTCAGAAGCACTGGAAGAAGCCCTTCCTGGGAGGTCAGAGACCTGAGCCTGAGCTCCTGGGGACCCGCCCCTCTACAAGGAAGCCCCCAGGATCTTACGCCCACCCCAGCCTTACAATGATCCGCTCGGGCATCATTGAGGAAGTAAAGGATGGGGACCAGGATGTCCAGCACATCGCTGCTCTTGAGCACAAAGAAGAGGAATTTCTGGAGGGAGGGAATGAACAGGTGGGCAGGGTCAGAGCGGAGACACCTCTGCTCCACCCTCTCCCCATCCCGGGAGTCTCCCCAGATGCTGTCCCCATCCCTCGGCTCTCCAGAGTAGCCGCTCCCCACCTCGGGGCACGCCACTGCCTGCCAGGCCGGGCCTGAGGCCAGCCCACCTTATTGAAGTCACAGAGCTTCCAGAAGAGGACCAGCAGCTCCTGGTGGAACTGGATCTTCTTGGTGGAGTTGGGCAGGTAGGTCTGGAGCAGGGGGTTGGAGAGCAGCCGGGCTATGCCCTTGAGGATGAACTGGAAGTCCTGAGTGGGGGACAGCAGGGATCTGTCCGGTCCAGCTCCCCCACAAATGCCTCCTCACTCCCCCAGAGCCTGGCCCCACCTCTAGAGCCTGAAAGGCCCAGATTCTGTCATTGGTAGCTGTCCTGAGGCAGGCCCCTCAGGGAGCTGAGTCCAGGGCAGGTCTGGAGAGAACCCCTGCCCCTTCCCCAGCCACAGGTTCCCCCGTCCCTGAGCAAGGCTGCTCCTAGTGACCCCCCCCACACCCACACCCACACCCTGAACCGGCCCCTGCCCATCTGGACTCCGTGTGGACAGTTGCCATCCCCCTACCCCTCTCCATCACCCTGTCACACCAGAGATGCCCTCTACTATTCTCAAAGAGCTGTCACTTACTAAGTACCTGCTACAAGTAATCCTCCCAAGAAGGCGAGGAAGCACTTACTGTCCCCACGTTACAGCAGCAGAAGTCAGAGCTCTGGGAGCACAAGAACCTCCCCCAAGGTCACAAGACATGCAAACTGAGGTCTGCCTGGCCTTTAAGTCCACTGTCCTTCCCCCCTCCAAAACCTGATATCAGAGCCACCTCCTCCTGGAAGACTGCCCAGTTATCCCTATCCAGTTGAGGCCATCAGCCCTTTTCTGCGTCTCAAAACCCTCGAAGTCCTGCCATCATTATTTCACTTGGGGTGGCCAAGTCCACGGGGACCATGGTTCCTTCATGGAGGGGTCAGGACTCCCCTTTACCCCATCTCATCTCGATTCCCTCACCCCCCCTGCAAGGCCATAACCATTGTGGTGGGTGGGCATTGAGAATCCACTGGAGCAAAAACAGTGTTCCACTCACCTCCTCACGATGGATGCGGGACAGGTAGTTCACAAACAGGTTCTCGGGTCCTGGAGGCTGCCGAGTGGAGCCTGGGATAAGCAGGTGGCTCCACCCCTTGCCCCTACCTTGGGCCTAGGTCGTGGCAGCAGAGCCCCCTCAGACATCCCCAGGCTCACCATGAGGTGCCCACTGGGTATCCCTTGCCCAGCTCTGCTAAAGGGAGCGCCCAGAGCCTGGCAGGGCCAACTGCCCTCCCCGCCACTCCCATCCTTACGTCCGTGTCATCCATGGCAGTGCCTGTGGTGGTGCCGTCCACCGTGGGGCTGGTGCTGGTGGCACTGTCATGGTCCAAGGTGACAATGAGCACCTGGGCAGCCTCCTCCACCAGGGGCTCCCGATAGTCGGAGAAGAGCAGGTGGTTGTAGGGGATCCCGTAGCCCACAGGGTCATAGGCACACACGGTGTTGAGGAGGGAGGTAAACAGGGGGAGGGCGTGTCTGCAGTAGAAGAGGAACAGTCCTGTGGAGACCGCCCGGCCAACCTCCGTCCACCCCCCCAGGTGGCCACATGGCAGGGTCCATCGAGCCACCCCCTCACTCGACAAGTGTTTCAGCGCTAGCCCCAGGCCGGGAGCCAGAGAGCGGAACCAGGCTCATCCCTTCCTGAGGAAAAGAGACCTCTCCTTGTCCTGACCTGCATCCGGAACCCAGGCCAAGGGCAGAAGAATTTATACCAACAGTGGGGCAGCCAGTTATGTGGGAAATCATGTCCACACCCCTTAGATTTTCCCCCAACAGCTAAAGCCTATTAAAAAAATTAAGACTATGTTTAGTGCAGTTTTAGGTTCACAGCAAAATCACGAGGAAGGAACAGAGAGATTCCCCCGTGCCCCCCAGCCCCCACCCATGCACAGCCTCCCCCGCTACTGACATCCCACAGTGGAGTGGCTCATGTGTTATCATCAACAGACCTACATGGACCCACCATCAAAGCCCATAATTTACATTAGGGTCCATTCGTGGTGCTGCACAATCTAACGACATGTCCCTCAGATCTGAGGGGCAGGTGCCCTCCCTCGGGGCTTCAAAGCAGGAGTTGGAGTACCCCAGGGAAGTGGGCTTCCCCTCAGGGAGCAGAGCACGTGCTCGATCACCCAGTTCCCAGGCCACAGACTGACACCATTCAGAGATCTGTAAGACGTCAGGGTTCAAGCTCCTTATCTGACAGGCGAGGAAACTGAGACCCAGAGAGGTTACGTGAGTGGCAAAGCATGGCCACTTGCCCGATAATGCTGGTGAGAAAAAAAACAAAAAAACTCTGGCCAGCTTTGGACTGTGGCGGGTGGAGGGGGTCACCTGGCTTGCCTTCTCTTCTGGGGGAGGAAAAAAAAAGTTGGGCAGAAGGCCAGCAAAACCTGAAGGATAAGGCATGCCATGTGGGAATGAGAGTCTGGAAGGAAGAAGGTGAGCCACGACCCTCAGGGGCACTCTCCGGTGCTTCCTGCACAGCCTTGAGCGCAGCTGGAGCTCCCGTAGCTGCTTTACACCCTCAGTCCCCCCATGGGACACCCCCACGGCCCAGGAGCACCCCCGTGTGGGCCAGGCTTCCCCACCCTTCAGGGTGTTCATTACGCCCTCTCCCCAGCCACTCTCTACACTGCACTACCCCATACAAGCCCCTTGTAGTGGCTGAGGGCTTAAAACGTGGCTGGTCTGAATTGAGATGTGTTGTGACTGTAAACTACACAACGAGATTTTGAACACTTTGCCTGAAAAGGGAATGTAAAACATCTCAGTAATGTTGCATCTCGAATACATGTTAAATACTACTATTAGGTATATATTGGGTTAAACGAAATATTAAAATTGATTTCACCCGTTTTTTTTTTTTTACTTTTTTCACGTCACCACTAGAAATGTTCAACTTATGTTGACATCAGCATGTGTGGTTTGCATTATATTTCTACTGGACAGCACAGCTCTGGATGTTGGACCCAGGACCCAGGCACAAAGGCCCCCCAGTGGGACATTGGACCGCGTGGGCGAAACATGCGGCTGTTAAGTTACAAGTCATCGCCACCAGGGGGAAGCACCTACCCTCAACTAAGACTCCAGGCTGGCGCGCCGCCTCTGCTTGGGGCTGCCTGGGAAAGGAGGAGAATGGAAAGGCCGGCCAAGGGCCCCTCACCTGTTCTCTGTGGAACAGAAGAACTGCACCCACGGGTTGGTGCCGCCACCGTCCGGAGCTGGGGGCAGGTACATGGCCTCAGAGAAGCACGTCAGCAGCAGCTTCAACAGCTCCATCCTTGTGGGGCGGGTTATGACAGGGGGTTCAGTACCTGAAGATCTCCATTCTTCTCTAGGAGGGCATGTCCACCCTGCCCCGCCCCACCCCAGCTCAAGTCCATGAAAAGATATGACCCCATTTTATCCCTGTCAGGCTGCTGTGGGGTCACAAGTGGACAGGGTCTCCTTGAAAGACCCCACGCACGGTTCCATCTCTGAGCTGGGGAGTGAGGGGCAGGCCTGGAGTCCAGCTACACTGTGGGCTCTGGGTCTAAGCAAAACTCACCGGTTCACGTCATGGATGTAGTTGGGCTGGGGGGAGTGAGCAAAGCCCACGCCAGCCTCCCAGATGTATTCACAGCTGTCCAGGGAGTGGACGTCCTCCGCCGAGTCCTGGGGACATGGTTTGGGAGTGGTCAGGCTCGGGGTGGCCAACCCAAGTCCCCCACTGTTGTCCCTGGGGGCAGAAACCCTCATATTCTCCTAAAGACAGACCCTCAAAATGCCCCAGGTGATAATGCACAAGGGAAGAAATTAATGTTCTCAACCTCTTGAAAGCTAATTTTTCTTCTCTGGTTTTTTTACTCGCTCAGTCCAGCTTGAGGCAAGGAGAGAGAGATAGGGAGGGAGGGGAATGGAATTGGGTGCACCTGGTGGTGCTTGGGGATGGGGGGGGCAGGAAACACTAAAGGTCGAGTCCATGGGCCCACAGGAAGTGAGCAGGCCAGACCTCCTGTGTCCAAGCCCCACACGCCCATCCACTGCCCAGGCGAGGACAATGGGTGCTTGTGCCCAGACTCCCGGATACAGGGGGCAGGGCCAGGCACCAGCTGGCTCCTCTCCAGCTGTACCAGTCACCGGCCCCTCCCCAGACCTGCCCAGCTCTTCCAGAGCAGCCCCTCCCCCGGCGGGGTCCTGCCCAAGGGAACTTCAACCAGCCCCAACCCAGGACCAGAGCCCTCCCCTGCCTAGGGGTGGGAGACTGGGGGGCTCTCACCACAGTGCTCCTTCGGTGGCTCTGGACAGTGAAATCTGGACAGAAGAGGAGATCGGCAACGGCCAGCAACAGGGACTCAGCGAGGGGCCGGGCATTCTCATCATCACCCTCTCCCTGCTCAGGATATAGCATACAGGCTGCCTCAGTGGTCGCTGGCTGAGGAGAGGGGGCCCCAGGACTTAGGGGTTGGAAGGGGTTTGGATCTGGGCCCAGGCAGGCACCCATGGGCAGAGGGATGAAGGAAGAGACCGAAGGAAAAGGAAGGAAGATTCCCAACCACCCCAAACCTCCTAAGGCAGATGGGGGCAGGAAGAGGAGTGGGGCTGGGACCCGGGAAGAAACCTCCCCCCTGACTGGAAGGAGCCAGGCCAGGACCCGAAAACTCTAGAGCCTCGGCCCTGCTGGGAATCGCTGGGGTCCTGCCCTCGGCCAGTTGCCTAGAGATAAACCAGGGAGGGAAAGGGCAGGCAGGGAGAGTGCCCAGCAGCCCTGCCCCCATGTCTGCCCGGCAGAAGGGGCAGACATCCGTGTGGGAGATGACCGACCCCCTGCCTCGGCAGCAACCCCCATTCCCCTTGCCCTGTACTTCCCAAACCCCACAAGAGATTTGGAGGAACGTGATGGGCCCTGAATGGGTTCTCTCCCTGTCACCATATCACCTCCCACCTCCCACCCGGTCCCACAGCCAGGCCCACAGACCCCTGCTCGCCCTGCCCCGGGCACTGTGGACCAGAAGAAGCCCCTCCAGTCAGGGTCCTCAAAGATGTAGGGCAGCACGCGGGTGAGAAGCCGGCTGCAGTTCAGGACAATCTGCTTCTCCTTCTCCGAATGGCAGCCACTCTCGGCTCCCTGCACCAGCTTCTCCACAGCCTGTGGGGACAGGCAGAGGGGCACGCTAGACGGGTGGGGCGTGGGGGCCTTGCGCTTAGGGTCAGGATGGGCACCCCAGGCTTCAGAGGGGGAGAGGCAGACAGGGCCATCCAGCCCAGGGGGGACGGGAAGTGGGTCAGAGAGCAGCCTAGAGCATCACCGGAAAGCCCAGCCCACCGCTCACTGGCTGAGACCTCACTAAGTGACCACCTGTCAGAGCCTGTTTCCTCATCTGTAAAACGGTGACATTAACAGGACCCACCACACAGGATGAGCTGAACGAGCTGATGTGTGGACGCCTTCACAGAAAGTGGCTGCCAGGATCCCCTCCCCGCAGAGCCCAGCCAGTGGGGAGACGTGGGTTACAGCCTCGAGACTGCCCAGACCTGGACAGGGGGCATGTCGTGGGGGCCTGCTCTCTGGGTCCACAGGGCTGGGCCAGCTTCAGCCTCCCCGGGAGGGTGGGGAACAGCTCAGCAGGGAGTGGCAGCGAGGGACAGAGCACCTTAAGCTCACCTTGTAACATAGAGTGGCCAGATTGGAGGGTGACTCCTCCCGCACGGCCCGGATCTCTGCTGCTGGTACCAGCGCGAAGACATCCTGCACTGAGGTGGCCGTGTCTGCCCAGAACTGGTCCCAAAAGGCATCATCGGTGGCTTCCACAGGCTGGGGGGGTGCGGTTTGGTGTGTCCAGAGTTGTTATATAATCTCTTGCCAACAGGCCCACAGTTTGCCCAGTCTATAGACAAAGGAGCCCCAAAAGGGACTGGTGCCCAGGGGCCCTCCCATGGGAGGAGGGGAGAAGGAGAACATCCTTCAGCCATTGTGAGCCCCTGCTGGTACAGGCAGGCTGGGGACACTTGGCACGGATGTCAGAGGTCAGCCAACCACTGAGTTCGGCAGCCAAAGCCTAACTCAGTCCCCGAGGGACAGGGTAACTCACCGTCCTCCTCTGGTTGGGCCTCCCTACCTGGGGACTTCCCCAGACCATGCTGCTAGGTCAAGTGCTGGGGGCCAGACCCAGATTGTGCCCCTCCCCAAAGGAAGAAGACAGGGGATATGTGCTCATTTCACCTAAGCCCAGCCTCACTGTCCCCACCTCAGCCGCAGCTTCTACCCTCTTCCTGCACACCCAACAGATGCCAAATCTAAAGAAAAGAAACCAACCCCCACGGCTCTCTGTCTGCGCCCGCTCCTCGCAGTACCCACTGCTAGTGTCGCTGTTCAGGCCACTCTTGCCAGGGCCCCACCTCCAAATTTACGTCCTCAACCCTGCCTGCACGCCGCCTCCAGCCCATGTTCAAGGCACAGCACCAAAGGCACTGTTCCCTCTACAAAGACCTTTGGGGGTTCCTGCTGCCTGCAGGATTGGGCCAGACCATCAGCCAAGATCTTACCTAACATACCTACATGCATGCACACGTGTGCACACACGTACGCACACATACACATTGCCCGTGGGCGCGCACACACCTGTATTTGCTATCCCTCCAATACAACACTGTCACATGCAGTGTTCGGCATGCCCTCCTCCCCACGTGCCCACCCTTCCAATCCCAAAGGCCCACCAGTCCTATGGAGGCCATACGCTGTAAGCACACTTGTGCCTTTTGAATCTTGCGGGCAGTCGCATAGGGAACCAATCTGAATCGTAAGCTCCACTTCTAGAAATCCTTCCTAAGGAAATGATCAGAGATGTGCACATATAAGGAGGCTCGCTGATGTGTTATCGTTGATAATAGCGAGAAGTTGGAATGAACCTAAATAACCAACAAGCAAGAAACACTCAAAAAGGTAAGGCCCTTTTGGGTGCCTGGGTGGCTCAGTCGGTTAAGCGACTGCCTTCGGCTCAGGTCATGATCCTGGAGTCCCGGGATCGAGTCCTACATCGGGCTCCCTGCCCAGCAGGGAGTCTGCTTCTCCCTCTGACCCTCCCCCCTCTCATGTGCTTTCTCTCTCTCATTCTCTCTCTAATAAATAAATAAAATCTTTAAAAAAAAAAAAAAGTTAAGGCCCTTTCGTAGAATAGAATATTACTCAACCCCAGGGCCATGTTGCCAAAGACTATTAATGAATGAAAAACGCTCATGGTACAACCCTGTGTGAAAAAGATAAGATATAACACTAACTACAGGATGGTCACACTCTTTGCTAAATTATATAATAAAAATCTAGACGAAAATGACAGAATGCTCATAGCGATTCTCTCTCTGGATGGTTATTTTTTTACTTATATTTTTCTGCAAACATGCATATTTACTATTTTTTCCTTTTGAATAGTTGCCTGCTGATAGGCCAGGGTGCCCAAGGCACTCTTCCAAACAGCAGCTCCTGCAAGAGACCCCAGTTGCTCCACCACCCTGGCCTCTTCCCTTCCCTGAAAGGGTCGATACAGGCCCTGCTACCACACAAATCCACATACAGTGTGCTTGACTCTGACCATCAGAAAAAAATATACATCTCGTTTAAAAATAACTCTGTTCTGGGGTGCCTGGGTGGCTCAGCTGGTTAAGCGTCTGCCTTCGGCTCAGGTCATGATCCCAGGGTCCCGGCATCGAGCCCTGAATCGGGCTCCCTGCTCAGCAGAAAGCCTGCTTCTCCCTCTCCCTCTGCCTGCCGTTCCCCCAGCTTGTGCTCTCTCACTCTCTCTCTGTCAAATAAACAAATAAAATCTTTAAAAAAATAATAATAACTCTGTTCACTGAAGCCCCTTCTTCCCAGAATTCTCCCAGAGCTCTGGACCGACAGGTTTGTGCCCACCTTGGAACCCTGTTCCTCACGCTCAGTCACTCATCACTGGCCCTGACTCCAGGGGTCTCAATGCACTTGCCTCGAGGTCCCATGAGCCCACCGGCCCTTCTTCCCTGACCCTGCAGTCGGGGCAGATGGCAGATGCTCAGCCAATATTTGTTCAGGGAGAGGTTGTCATTCGACCTAGAGATCCCTTCAACCCAGTCACAGGGCATGCCTGAGCACCAGTGGGCTGTACAAACTCAGGGCTGGGTTTGAAAGTGTCGCCGAAGTCCGGGTGTAACCTCGCCCACTCCCCAAGCAATGCCCCCCCTCCAAGCTACAGGGCAGCAAGTGGCCGTGGCCCCCAGGACAGGCCTGGTACCAGGGCCTGCTCAGCCCCAGAACTGGTAGAGCAAGTTGCTAGGGGAGAAGAACAAAGGCCAAAGGAGGGGCCTAGGGCTAGGGTTTTCTAGCCTCAACCAAGGCAGCCCTCTGACAGTCCCTGGGGTCAAGGGGCACCACCCGCCAGTGTGGGGGGCCAGGGCTGGTGTGGGGAAGGACATCCTAGAAAACCTGTGAGCGCCTCTGGAAAGCTCCCCGTCTCTGACACTTTCCCCCGCCTTTCCCGGTAGCCACTACCCCCTTAAAGGGGCAGAAACTCATCTGAGCACCAGTGGACTTGACCTCTGGCTTAGTTCATCAGGCAAGTGTCACCTGGGGACTGAATTCCAAACGAGGGGAGAAACTTAAAAGGAGACTTAGGAGTCCCCCAGCTAGCCCAGCCAAGAAGCAGGCTGAGTCCCAGCCCTCCAGCTCCCACTGTGGCCTGGACGCTTCAGCTTGGTGCCCATCACCTGGCTATACCAGGCTGGCCTGATGCTCCAAGGTGTTGGCTGGGGTCACTGGAGCCCCTCGGGCTTCTGAGGGGAGAAACATGGCTCAACTCCTGTCCCAGTTCCCCGAGCTGGGCCCCACATAACCCAAGGAAGCTTCTAAAATCCAAGCCAGTTTGTTTGAAAAGAGTATTTTTGCCGCAGACGGGAAGGCCCATGCTGCCACGGCATAGGGACTGAGCCACCCTGGTGGGAAAACAGATATTCTTACCCCAGCTTTGCTAGCACCTGCTCAGGCCAGACCCCCCACCAGCTTGGGAGCCCAGCTGCAACATCTGAACTTTCTAGGGGGTGAGGGGGAGCAAAGGACCATAAGTGCTCTAGCCTGCTAAGGGTGACCTGTTCGAGAGGACGGTGTCTCCACAGCATTCACACGCACATACATGTGCACACATGTACACATGGACCCACCAGGTATCCCCCTGCCTATGGCAGAGAGTCTCCAAAAAGGCAGATCTAAGAGAGGGTCCCACCCACCCCAGGAAAGGTCCGGGAAACACAGCCAAAACTGCTAAGCCTCAGGACCAGGGTCAGGCCTAGCCCAGGGCAGGAAGAAAACAGGATGCAGGGCAGGAAGGCAGGGAAGGCCCAGTGGCGAAGGCCCAGCAGCGGCAGCTCACACCCAGGCCATAGGAAAAGGTTCTGGGTCGGCTTGTGTACTGCCCAGAACAAACATCTGTGTTCGTGGCAGAGCCTCTAAGGGTCCGAGACTGGAGGACACCCTGTGGACATTTGACCTGAATCTCCTTGGAGACACTGAGTGGCAAGGTCTGGAACGACCATCTGGGATCTGGTCTTCACTCCTCTGCTGCCCAAGCCAGGTCACTACACAGGACAGGAGGCTTTGGGGTCTCTCCCTTCAGCCAGCCCAGGTCCCTTCCCACTATAGGGCCCCTGTGGTCTCTGGAGGGAGATCCAGCCTGGTATCTGGTTCCAGTGTTGACCCAAGCCAACTCCCTGTCCTCAGCTGGGAAACGGAACAGCACCATCTCAGTCAGCTCCATAACAGGGCTGCAGCCAGGGAAAGCTGGAGACACACTGTATTTTGGGGAGAGGGCCAGCGCAGGTAGGAATCTAGTCCACCCAGATCCTTTGGGACCCGACTGAGCTCGTCCTGCTGGCCTGGCAAAGGACCCTGCCAGCTGAGCCAACAGCCCATAGTTCATTCCTCCAACAACGTGTTTCCTTCCCCAGGTAGGTAAACATGGGAGCCTCCCTCCTGCCTCTCCCTGTGGCCCCACATTGAGGGGCTGGCCCACCTGCTGCCCACAGACCTAGAAGCGCCATCCCAAAAAAGCCAAGTACTAGAACTAACCAGGAGCCATTAGGGAGGTGGCAAGAAGCAAAGTCTGGTTTCTATCAAATGCCTCTTAGCTGGGACTAGACTCTCCAGAGGCCCTGGGCATTTGCCCGGCACCTGACCTTTCTCTTGTGGGAACGAGAGAGTGTAGGACCAGAGGTCCGGCCTCTGGAGCTGTGATCACCTGGCTGTGGGAGGACGGATCCCTCAATCCCACTCTAACTGCCAAGAGCAAGAGAGAGCCCTGGGGGTAAGGGTAAGAGGAAAGTCCCAGATGGCAGCAGGTCCTGACTCCCTTGAAAGTGGGGGACCTGGAGAGTCAGGGCTGGGCATCTCTATGGCCAGAGCAGCCTGGTTCTGGGGTAAGGACAGAAGGGGTAGGCAGGGAAGGAGCTGGGTCCTGTGTGTTGGGGGCAAGAAGGTGGCCTCTGTGCCACTTGTGAACTCGGGGGGAGTGTACTGGTTGAAAGACACCCCCAGGCCCCACATCAGCCATTCAAAGACAACCTGGAGGGTTCTCAGCCCTGACTCAGAGAACAGAGGGTACCTGAAAACACAGCCAGCCCCACTGCCGGGCCTCAGAGGAGGAGCCCCATAGAGTGGTGGTCCCCAGCTGGGAAACGACTCCACAGGCCTGGGAACAGGTCCCTTTGCTAGGCTGCAGCGCTGCTCGCCACTCTTTACATGTTCTCAGGAAGACCTGGGCCTTCCCTGGCTGTGGGCATCGACCTGGGCCCAGCGAGGCCGCTGCCACCGCGCACCAGCTGTTTCCCCGACCCGGCAGGCGCCGGCCCGGCTTTGTTTGCATTGAATCAGCCGGGTCTGTGCGTCCAGGAATCGCGGGCACCGAGGGGCAGGGAGGGGAGCAAGGAGGCGGATGGGTGGGTGGGGGCGGGAGTGGGGGTGAAGCTGAAGATGCGGGGCTGGAGGGGCTGGAGCGGGGGTGAGGTGGGGGGAGGCGGCGGGACAGGTGGCGGACAGCGGCGATGCTGGCTCAGGGAGTAGGCACACGTCAGCCTAAGGTGGCAGCACCGGCTGCGGGTAGAGGGATATTCCCGGGAGAGGAGGCTGGGGTGAGGGGCTAGGGTTAGGGGATGAAGCCCTGGGGTACAGGACAACGGGTCCCGCTCCGGCCCTGGCTTCAGCGTCACCTTGCAGGCCAGTCGGTCCCCCATCTCCTCACGAGCCAAGTTCGCGCAGCCCCCCCGCCCCGCCGCCGGCCCTGCCCAGCCCCCAGCCCGGCAGGTGGGTGGGGAGGCCGGGGCCCCAGTCGCACCTGCGTCTTGGTGGTGAGCTGGATCACCGCCTTTCGGAAATTCAGCTTAGAGTCGGCCGACCCCATAGCGCTTGAGCCCGCCCTGGCCGGGCTCCGGCCCCGACTCCCGCCCCGGCCCCGGTTCGGGATCCAGCTCCAGCTCCGCGGCCCCCGCTGCTCTCGCAGAAGAGGAGCCGCGGACCCCGCCTGCCGGCCAGGCGTCGGCCCCGCCCCCGCTGGGCTCCGCCCTCACGTGGCTCCGCCCCCGCACCTGCCGCGCCCCGCACCGCCCACTCCAGGCGCTGGGAGTCGGCCCCTGGGATCCGCTACGGCAGCAAGCCTGGCGTCCTTCTCAGCCCAACCCCGTGCCTCCGCGCCCTCTCTTCTGCGTCGGAGTGCTGTCCCCGTTACATCTCTCCCATTTCCACTCAGCCCCCAGGGCCCGCAACCCTCCCAGCCTCCCGTTCCCCGCCCCCATCCCCACCATTGGTCCCCACGCCACTCTGGGCCCACACTTTCTCAGCCAGCCCTCTCCCTCAGAGTTTCTTCCTTGTCAATCCCTGTCCTCCCGGTTCCTTTTTTTTTTTTTTTCCCCTGAGCATCTGCTTTCTTGGTTCCCTTTTATTGACCTGTCAAACCCACATCACCAGACAGCCCCGCTGGTTTTTTCCAGCCACAAGCCCCAGGCTCCAGGAAAGCAGCTCCCTGTGGTCCGATGAGAGTGGGAGGTCCCTCTGGGTCCCACAACTCCTTTCTGGCAACCTACCTTCCCTGAGAATCCGTTTAAGTCCATCTATTTCGACAAATGTGTTGCGGGACTGGTATTTACTAACACTGTGTCAACGACAGAGACCTAGGGGTCTTAAGTCACAAGGCCTGCCCTTGATGAGCCATTAGTTTGGGAACGAAACAAGGAAAGAATTAACCGTGTTTCAGCTGAGTAAGTCTTTATAGAAGCAAATTAATATTAATGATGATGATATGAGGACAATATCTCTAGCCCAACAAAAATCTACCTCTGAGGTAAGTACTATCCCATTTTACAGCAGGGGAAACGGAAGTTCAAGGCAGTTATGTTACTTGCCCAGAGTCACACAACTACTAAAGAACAAAACCAAAAAGGCAAATCCAACTCTGGCTCCAAAAGCCGCTGCACTTTCACGATATCATCTTGCATACTATGTCTGGAAGCTTCTGGCAATCCTAGACACTTCAAAAGAAAGTGGCATTTAGCTTAAATAGGAAATCCACAGGTGAAAAGTGAGGGATGCACCATCTATCCAGTGAAAGGGTGGTAGGAAGGCAGGGTAGGACGGGCATGGAGACAGGGAACAGGGGGGCAGGGATGTTGCCCTGTCACTGAAGGAGTAGACTGCACAGGATAGTTCTGTCCTTGCCCCAGAGGTGGGTTTTCCCTGCCCTGGATGAAATCCTGGGCAGGCTTCATGGCTTTTCTAATCGCTCCAAGAAAACAAATGAATAGTGTCTTTATTTGGCGTTAAAAAATAATAATAAAATCCAGTCCACTCTACAAATTGCCCAACCTAAGTCCAGGCCAGCGAGACATTAAAAATTCAGAATTTTAGTCATCAGGGAAATGCAAATTGAAACCATAACGTGATAATTATTACATACCTATTAGAATGGGTTAAAAAAACAAAACACAACAATACCAAATACTGGTGAGGATGGGGAGCATTTATATTTTCTTATAAAGTTAAATATACAATTCCCACATATCTCAATAATCCCAGTCATGGTATTTATCCAGGAAAAATGAAGGCATCTAACCACACAAAAAGCCTATGTAATGCTTATGGCAATTTCATTTATAATCACCAAAGTGTGGAAACTACCCAAATGTCCATCATCTAGTGAATAAACAGATTGGGGTTCACCCATACAATGGGACTAGTATTTAGTGACAAAAAAGAACAAGCTACTGATACAAGCAGCAACAATGTGGATGAATCTCAAAAGCACAGTGCCAGACACAGAAGGCAGCGTACCGTATTATATCATTTATGTGACATTCTGGAAAAGACAAAACAGTGGAACAGAAAGCAAGTGGTGGCCTTGGGCTGGGAGTAGGTTGAAAGTTATGAGGAAACTTTTTGGGGTGATGAAAACAGTCTCTGCTATGATTGTGGTGGTAGTTTCATGACTGTATCATGTTTTGTTTTGTTTTTAAGATTTTATCTATTTATTTGACAGAGAGACACAGCGAGAGAGGGAGCGGGGGAGTGGGAGAGGGAGAAGCAGGCCTCCCACTGAGCAGGGGGCCCGATGCGGGGCTCAATGCGGGGCTCAATGCGGGGCTCGATCCCAGGACCCTGGGATCATGACCTGAGCCGAAGGCAGTCGCTTAACCAACTGAGCCACCCAGGCGCCCCATGACTATATCATGTTTGTTGAACTTCATGTAACTATACACCTAAGAGGGGTGAATTTTACGGTATGCAAACTATGCCTCAATAATTTTGACTTTAAAAGGACAAAAACCAAGAGCAGGTGCTAACTGGTCATTTCGAGAGAGTAATTGTGAGCCCTTTGGCCTGCGCAGCACTCAGAGCCATTTCAGGGATTTGCAACCAGGAACTCCAAGTGGCACCGAGATATTACTGGTCATCCGTGGACCTTGCTCTTCCCATCAGCTTTCATGGGATGAATTTAAATGAGTCCATTTATCTTCATCCAACCTCAGAAGGTCTTCTCCCATTCACTGGACATTATGCTCCTCAGGAAATCTTAGCATCCATCTCCAGGAAATCTTACAAGGTCCCTGGGCACTCTTGCCCCCATAGGATGGGAAAAATATTAATATCGTCTTAAGGAACGTGACTGCTAATACATCCAGGAAATGGAAAAATACCCGTTTATCCCCACCACCTGTTTATTGTCTCCAAGTTAAGCTTAACATCCTCCCTAATCCCACCAACGACTGTTTTTTAAATGCTGCTGGTTATTGTTTAGTGCTTACTGAAGTGTATACAGGGAAGATGGCCTAATGACTGGACTTTGCTCTAAAATACTGCAGCAAAGGGGAGCCTGGGTGGCTCAGTTGGTTAAGTGTCTGCCTTCAGCTCAGGTCATGATCCCAGGGTCCTGGGATCGAGCCCCACATCGGGTGCTTCGGGCTCCCTGCTCCTCAGGAAGCCTGCTTCTCCCTCTCCCACTCTCCCTGCTTGTGTTCCTTCTCTTGCTGTGTCTCTCTCTATCAAATAAATAAATAAGTAAATAAATAATCTTAAAAAAATAAAAAATAAAATACTATAACAAAGAAAACAAGACAAAGAACACAAGCAAGATGAGGCAAATGTGACAGAATCTTGGTCATTGTCAAATCTGTGTTGAGCATGTGGAGATTCATTGTACTGTTGCTCTACTTTTGTGTGTGTGCTTGAAAACTTATATAGTTAAATTTTTTGAGGAAAAAGACTGATTTATATAGGAAAAATAGTAGTAAAACAGAGCTTTTGAAAGTTTAAAGAAATTAATTATCCTTATTAATTTGGAGATTCCCTAGTAGGTTCTTAGCTATGATTTCCTATGTGGAAACTATGGTATGTCCTCCTTTTATGCCCAGTGTAAAGGAACAGTCCCTGTCTGTGGTTCCTAGAGCCCCTTTTTCTGAGTTCAACCATCAATTATACAAGAAACATTAACTCAGCACCTGCTAAGGGCCACATACCTTGCAAGGTGCTAGGGCCTAGTCTACAAAGGCAAGTTCCTACTGCCAAGAGAGGGCAAACATACAGGCAAGAGAGAGCGCCTTGGGGTCAAGAGTGGAGTCTGTCCAGGGCCCTGGCAGGGAAGGAATGGAGGAATGGTTACCAGAATCCAGAGGAAGAGAGCCCAGTTGTAAGAGAGGGCCGAAAGGAGCAGTGACCTCACAGGGTCTGGAAGGGAGGGACCCATGGGATGGATACCCCACCTTCACTGTTCTCCTGAGCCCCGATTGCCCGCTGGTGTTTCCCATCAGTGGACTCCCAGAAAGCAAAAGGGCAAGGGAGCCCATCGTTGCTGCGCACAAAAGCTTCGGCCTCCGGGCATGGAGCAGATAGAGACGATGGAAAAAGAGCTGAATAGGCACACAGAACACGTCCCATATCCAGGTACGAGGAACACGCAGAAGTAAGGCCCGGGAGTGCGGAGAGCCTGGTTTGCCCGGAGAACAGAAAGATCAGCTTGAGCTGAAATGTAGAGAGACAAGAGATAAAGCAGGAGAGGCGGGCCAGGACCGGACCATAAAGGGCTGCATACATCCTGTTAAAGAGCTTTTTATCTCCCTCTATGAGCAAGGAGGAGCATCTGAAGCAGGGGAATAATGTCGTCGGATGTCATTATGTCTTGGCAAAGTCACTCCAGCTGCTGCAGGAAAGATAAAGTGAACCGAACACTGGGAATCCACCTGGGGTGGGGGGGTGGCGGGGGTGAGAGATGACCAGGGTTGAGCCAGGCAGTCACAGGTGGGATGGAGAGGAAGAACGTAGGTGATGTCTCCAGGTGGAATCGTGGAACTTGCTTGTCAATTTGATGTGTGTTCCAGGTGGGACAACCTCCCACCAAACGTGATATACAACAATAACCATTTTATTGTAAATTCTGTGGTCAGTAATTCAGAGAGAACCCAGCTGAGGTGGCTTGCCTCTGCTCCACAATGTCTGCAGCCTCAGCTGAGAAGACTAGAAGGGGTAGGGGAGGGTTCACTCAGAACATCTGGGACCTGGAATCATCTGGAGGCTTCTTTACTCATGTATCTGATGCCTGGGCTGGGAGGACTCAAAGGCTGGACTCAGCTGGGGGTGAAGATGGTAGCCCCAACATGCAACTTCTACATGCAGCTTGGGTCTCTCACAGCTCTGAGATGGAGTGTCCCAAAGGGTGCATACAAAAAGAGGGTGTCCAGGAAGAAAGAGGAGGAAGCTGCATGACCATTTAGTACTGAGCCTGGGAATAACATTTAAAGTCACTTCCACCATACTCTATTAGTCAAAGCAATCACAAGCCCACCAGGTTCAGGGAGAGGGAACTTCCCTACACCCACCTCCCCACTGGAAGAAGTGTCAAAGGAGTCGGCGCCATGTTTAAAACTGCGACACTGGGGCTCCTGGATGGCTCAGTCAGTAGAGGTGTGACTCTTGATCTTGGGGTTGTAAGTTTGGGTCCCACGTTGGG